CTGAGTTGGAATCCTAGCTCTGCTCCCTCTGCCTCAGTGAAACACTGGTGAAAACTTCGTGTGGTTATACTGAGATATGTATTATAAGTGAATAATACATGTGAATATTTAAATCAGTACCTACACTGCATATATAAGGTGCCCAGTAAATGTCTGCTTCAGAATATAAATGCTTCAGACTAGTCTTTATGCCCTCTTAAAGAGAGTGGATGGTGGTGGTAAAGATTTACCTTGATCATAAAAGTTTTATTACTTGGTTAATATGAAGCTATCAAGTAAGGAGATCCAAAAGTATATTCATTTGGAAGAGGGTGGTAAAATATTCAAAAAGGAAACCATCATGCCAACTCTAAGCTAAACTGACTATAACAAAGGAGTTCCAAGTCTAAGTGGCTTCATATAATACAAACTTATTTTTTCTCTTATGTGTAGGACAGATTAATGTGGTTAGTCAAGACTGTGTGCTTTCCTTCAACATGGTGACTCTGGGATCCAAGCATGTTACATTATGTGACTTTCCAATATTGGAGTTCCTCAGTTGCTCTGTGAGGACAAGGATGAGGAAGAAAAGGGTATAGGAGTAAGGAGGAAGAGAGGGTGGGGGGGGGACAGGGAGGGAGGGAGAGAGAAACAGAGACAGACACTATATTTCTTTGGCTGCCCTGTTCCCTATCAATGGTCCAACATGGCTGCAACCTATACACCAGGGGTTTTGGGAAATCCAGTTTCCCTGAATTCCAGTTTCCATAAATTCCCTGCAATAAGAAGCAGAAGAGATGAGTATCCAGCAATTCTGGCACAAGAGTTAGCCATACAACATATTTTCTATTAGTGAAAGACATTTTTTAAAATAACCTATTTATATACTTCAGTGTAAATTGTTCTTGAAATTCTGTAATGCTAGGACCAGCAGATGACCCAAGAGAATTTATGAGTCATTATGTTTTCTTTTCATTTTAGAAATTTGTAGAAAATAAGGGTATCTACTGAGACATCTACTTCTGAGCATTTCATTTTTGTCCAGTTAGCCAGTAAACAAGGACTCCAGAGGACAGTTTCTTAGTGGCTGTCCCTGGCAATTGAGTTCCTATTACACAGAAAGTTTTTAGGTTTTTCATCCTGCCCTTGTTTAGTAAATGACAAAGGCAAAGAAGTCAATGATCTTGTTATACCCTGAGATTAGACGAGATAATCTCAGAAGTAGAGTTGTTGTTTTTTTTTTTAACTGCTCTTGGAACCAGTATTTGTCCTTAGCTCTGATGGAAGAGGAGATGGCAGCTTTCTCTGTTTTAAATCACTAAATAAAGTGACTTACTCTTCCAGGTTTATTAATGCTCTTTAACTTGAACAGTTAGTTCTTTTGAATCATAATTAGTCTCTGCACAGAGTTGGTAGACCTTGAGAATTTATAGCCACATGGTACTTGGGGCCATGCTTAAGGTTCAGGGTAATATGTACATGGTGTTTTGTGGTGTTTCATAGTTCTTTGCATTGATTTTGAATTCCGCTTTTCTTTTGCCAAAGTTGAAATGTTTAGCACATTTAGGAAACAATAGGTCATAGTTGATTGGGTAGTCTCCAGCATGAGGCTGAGTTTGAATCCCACCTCTGCTTCTCAATCACTAAATGACCTTGGACTCTATGGGCTGCCTAGGAATAGTGGTAACAAACACAGTAGATTGGGGTGCTTGAACAATAAAAATGTTTTATCTCATGATTTTGGATACTGTAATTCTGAAATAAGGTGTCATCAGGGTTACTTACTTCTGAGGCCTCTTTCCTTGGCTCGTAGATGACTTCTTCCCCTGCATCTTCACATGGTTTTCCTCCTGTATATGTCTGTGTCCAAACTCCTCTTTTTATAAGGTCACTAATAAGAATAGATCAGAACTCACCTGAGTTACCTCATGTTAATTTACTTACTCTAAAGACCCTGATTCCAAATATAATTGCATTCTGAGATACGGAGGGTTGGGACTTCAGCATATAAATTTGGTGGGTATGGGACCCAAATCAGATCATAACTGGTCCTCAGTCTGCCTGATCTACAAAATGGGTTAATAAAAGTACTTCACAGGATTGTTTTGTGTGTTCAGAGAAGATGCATACAAATTGCTTAGTACAATACCTGAAATCTGTTGAGCATTCACGAAATAATACTATAATCATAATTTTTTTTAATCTAACAGTATCATCTCTACCACCAGTTTGGAGATGGTTTTGTGCATAGCTTTTCAATTACTGAAGCTTGAGATTATCATTGTCTTTCTTGTGCCCCCATAGAATCTGAACAGGCTGCCTTCAACAGAGTAACAGGACAAATGTCCAGGGAGCATGGATTGAGTGAATAGGTATGAATTGGTCTTCTGTGGATATCACTTTGGTGTCATTGGACTGTGGAAAGCTCTTAGGCATCCTTGTTTCTGTAGTGGCCTGTCCCATGACTCTACCAGATCAAGATAAGTAGTCTCTCCACATTAGGAGCAGGGGACAGAAAGCTTTTTGCATTGTTGGGGGTAACATAAAAGTGTTAGATCATAAAGCATAAGAATTGTACAAGTGCTGGAGGTGGGTTTTTTTTTTTTTTTGTTGAACTAAGGGGCACTCGACCACTGAGCCACACTCCCAGCCCTATTTTGTATTTTACTTAGAGACAGGGTCTCACTGAGTTGCTTAGCACTTTGCTTTTGCTGAGATTGGCTTTGAACTCATAATCCTCCTGCCTCAGCCTTCTGAACTGCTGGGATTACAAGTGTGGCTAGAGGTGATTTTTAAGTAATACAATATGTATTGTTAGCTATTCCTAACTTTTCTAGACTTGATGAAAATTTATAGAATTTTTTTCATACTAATATTGTAAGTCAGTTATTTCAGGCTCAAGGAATTGCCTGTATCTTAAATCCGTGGCATTTATTTCGACTGGTGTAAATGTTCTTTGCTATAAAAAAAAAAAAATGGTGCTACTGTCATGTCACAGTTCCAGCTTGTGTTAAATAACAACAAGCATTGCTGTCTGTTAGTGTCAGAAGAAGGAAGATCAGATTGCATGGTCTCTGATGTAAGTTGGAAAGAAGGTGAACATGCAACCCATCAATTAAAAAAAGCTTTGGATGTTGTGGTGTGTTATGTTTTTGTTGTTGTGACCAAAATACCTGACCAGAACAACTTGAAGGATGAAAATTTTATTCTGAGATCATGATTTCAGAGGTTCAGTCCATGGTTGGCTGATTCTATTCTTCTGGGGCCCAGATTAGATAGAACATCAGGGTGGAAGGGCATGGTGGAGGAAAGCCGCTTACCTTGTGGTAGTCCAGAAGCAGAAAGAAGGTGAGAGGATCCAGAAACAATATGTACAATCCTCAAGGCATGCCCCCAGCGACTGACTTCTTTTTAGCCATGCCCCACCTGTCTACAGTTACCACTCAGTAGTTCAGAGTATTTTATATTCAAATATTAATTCAAATAATATATTCAAATTATCAGTCACATGGATTAATCCACGAATTAGATTATGACCCTCATGCATTAACATGGGAGCTTTTGGAAGATATCATCCAAACCATAACAGGTGGGGACTAGTGTGGTTATTAAGACATGGTGTCCACTGATAGCAGCTGATTATGTAGGCTTTATTAACTAAGAATATGGGGCACATTCCTCATAGAGCATGCTCAACTCCACTTAGGGCATCAGCTCCTAAACTGAGGCAAGGGCACCCCTAGTTTCACCAACCAGTTCCTTTATTCTCTATCATGTCAGCTACTGAATCTTGTCAGTTTTTCTTTTGAAATGCCTCTGAAATTTTTTCTTATAATAAAAAGTTATTTTATGACAAGTATGAGGACTGTCACATATAAATACTGTGATACAAGAAGAAATAGATACTTGGTCTTTGTCTCAGGTTCCTAGCACAGAGTTCTAAAAACCCTTGGCATCTTCACAGTGATGAGTGTCTTTTGTCCTATAATGAGATTACTGCGAGCTCCAGGCCCCTAGTAGCTTCAGGGTGGAGCTGGTTATTCAGAAGACGCAAAGCCTGATTAGAGAATTTGAATTTTCAGCCCCATTCCTGACTAGCAAGGAGAAAGGGGCTGAAGATTGAAGAAGAAGAATCTCCACGAGAAGCCCTAACCAAAAGTTATGGAGAGCTTCTGGGCTGGTGAACCCATAGAGTGACTGAGTGGTGTGACTGGAGAGGGCATGGAAGTCCGAACCCTCCCCCAGTTCCTTCACTCTGCACCCCTTCTATTTGGCTGTTTCCAAGTGTGTGCTTTATAATAAACCAGTAAGTAAACTGTTTCTTGAGTTCTGTGAGCCAGTCTAGCAAATTCTTGAACAGGACCAAGGGGTCATGGGAACTGACTGGTTAGAAGTACAGGTGGCCACCTGGGGCTTGAGAATGGTATCTGATGTGGGGCAGTCAACGGTGGGTTGTGCCAACTTCGGGCAGTGTTGGAACTGAATGATATTGTTGGTGGCTGGAAAATTAGAGAATCGATTGGTGTGAGGAAAAAACCCATACATTTGCTGTCAGAAGCTTTGTGAGTAAAAATAGTGCAAGTAAACATGAAACTATGAATATACATGAACTTATTTTTTCCTCACCATAAAATAATAGCTATATTCACTCTTGTGACTGCAAAAATTAAAACACGTCTTATTAGGGATTAATGAAATATGGAATTAGGTAATTGGTTTCCTGTTATCTGACTTTTATATAAATTCATTTACTTTTCTATTTAAAACCAGAAACCTAAACGCAGCAGGGACAATAAACAAGTACCTTTTCTCAGGATTTCGCTCTTCTGCTTTTCCACTGCCTTCCTGTCCCTCCATCTTCTAATATGGAGAAAAACACAAGACCTCTCACTGCTGTGTTCTTTTAATCCTATTGCTGCTTTTTCTTTCATTGTTGCTTTAGTTATGTTTTTATTTCCTAAAAGTATTCTGAAGATTTGCCTCTTGACATTTTCATTGATTCATTTTAATTGTTTTGGCAGAAAAGAGCAAGTTAGCGTCCTGTATCAAAACATCAACCTTGTGGAGCCAAGACTAATTCAGCCGTATGAACATGTGATCAAGAACTTCATCCATGAGATCAAACTTCAAAGCACAGAAATGGAAAACCTGGCCATTGCTGTGAAGAGGTATGGAAGTTCATTCTAAGTGGCACTAAGGCTCCTCTAATTCATTCTCTGGCGTGGGTAGCAAATGACTTGAATTGATATAAGCCATAAACAAGCCAGCACAGGGTAAGTTGAGCCAGGCAGTGATTTATTGGGTCAACCATCAATGTATCAGTAGGTCATTGTGATCCTATTATATCAACTGTTCAGGACCAATGATTCCATATGGAGCAATTCAGAGATTTATCTTATCTTATCCAGCCCCTTGAAGCACACAGAGAATTTCATCCAGATAGGTAGGCAGGACTCCATTTGAAGCCTGGCCTTATTACAGATGTAAGACCTCATGGGAAAGTTACCTAATCTCCCCAAGTCTCAGTTCCTGCATTTCAAAATGAGAATGAAAAATATTCACAGCCTCAGGGTGTTGTGCCTCAATAGATGATGTCATGGTTGGAGCCCCTCACAATATGCCTACCACATGTAGGTGCTCAGCAATGATGGTTTCCCTCTCCCTAACCCTCCTCAGTCAGCCCTCTCCCTGAACTGAAAGCCAAAGCACTGTTTAAACTCATCCTGTCATATGGAGAGTTCATGTAAGCCATGGCTTTCTTACATAGGGTATCCTCTTGTTTAAACAGCAGTTCAGTGCAAAATAAGAATTTATGTATCATAATCCAAACATCTGCTCTTTGCTCCCCAGAAGGACCACGGTCTTCAGCATATGTTGGGAAAGAGGGGACATCTTGTTCGGCACAGTTCCTGGGTGTCCTATTCCTTAGCACCCTGCTGCTCTCTGCCCAGAACTTGTAAACACAGCCCCTTTGATAGCATGCTGCTCTGCCTGCCTGGGTGCAGGTGAAGCTACAGGCCCTCAACATAATGCTGAAACTATCTGAATGAGCCTTTGGAGTAACTGGAGGGGATTATAATATAGGAGGAGAAATTGTTTTAAAATTATAATACTAAATAGAACTGTTCTTATAGTCCTAGAGTCAAGCAAAAGTTGAACTATTCACAGGGGGTTTCTCATGAACATTTTTAAAATGTACCTAGCCCCGATCTTTGCCTTTAGGTTTGACTTCTAGGGGGCTTTCAAGAGGGCGATCCTCAGACTCCAGATTCTGTAGTGCATCCTGGAGTTTGGACCAGAGCCACAGTTGGTCTCCTTTGAGGCATGACAAGCAGATGCATTGATTCTTGAGAGTGTCTACTGTCTATTAAACACTCACAATCATATTCACATATGTGCATGTACAGACCCACACAGAGATGTGTGTCACATATTTTCACAAGCATGCACCCTTTAAAGATTCATCATGTAAACTGAAAAGGGAAGAGAAAAGGATGCCTTTCTTTGTGTTCTCACTGCCAGCCAGGCTTCTCTATCAAGGTGGAGTGAGTCTGTCATGTTGTGCTGAGCTGTTTGTGTTGGTGTTACTCTCCTCCTGACTTCTGTGTTCTCTCAGAGGGGCGATATCTGGAGTTAGGCTCTTTCTGCAGTCTCCTAAAGGCCCCTCTTTTGCTATGAGAGGCCTCACTGTAAGTGCTTGAGTGACTGCTTGTGAACCATCCTTTGCAAGCACCTCCACTCTCTCCTCTGCTTTTAGCTGAATGTGTGGTGGCGGGGCGTGGGGGTGGAGATGTCGTAGTAATTTTACTTTGCACTTGTACTTGAAGGATGAGCTCCCAGTGACCAGGTGACAGTGGACAGTCCTAGCACACTAGACATTTTACTAGGAATTAGAAATTGCTAGGCAAAAAGAGTCATCATGTAATACCCTGATTTATACACCACGTGTGCACGTGTACACACTCACACACACCCTCACACACACACACAAATACAAACAGAATGGAGAAAGGCAGAGAAGACATTTCCTGAGAAGTTCTAGATGTTTGGAATTTGATATCTAGAAGGAATAGCTGGAAGAAAAATGATCATAACAAAGGGAAAAAAGGCATGTGACCTTGCTATTTACAATATAGATTTGGTTTTTAATTTGATTGTGTTGGAGATGCCTAAGTTCTAGACTTGGAGTAGCAAATATTTATAAATAGAACTAGTTAGCTTTCCAAACTTGGTCAACTCAACCCTGGGCAAGCTGTATGATTAGGAGGAAGTAAACAAGAGCAGAAAATGATAATGTTTCTCAGAATTTACTTTGGATTCCCGACAATTGTCTGTAGTTGTACATAGAAGTTAAACTAATAAACAAAGTGTGCTGTGAGAGAGTGAATAATTCAATAATATGGTAGTATGTTATAGCATTCTCATCAAACTAGAAAGAAGATGGATGATCTTATATAAATCCTGTCCCCTACTCTTTATTAACAGCATGCCATTGGTTCAAGGGAATTGACTCTCTAAGCCTCATGGAGGTTGCTGTCCCATCACTTGTAATCTAGTTGGGAAGATGAGGCATTATGCAAGTGAAAAGCTAGATAGTTAGACAGGCAGCTGAGAGGACAAAAGAAAGTATAAGTTTTTAAAATCTTAAACTTCAACCATCAATCAAGTGACAGGTATGTCCGTTCTAGACAATTTCTAGTAAGTAAAATAATCCTGGAATGCCTCTCACTGAAATTTTTTCCATTTATAACTTTTTGGCAAATCAGTATCTTTTGTCTCCATAGAGAGATGATTTATTAATTGCATTAATAAAAGAAACAAAAATTTTCTACATGGCAACCTTATCTACATTCTAGAAGTTTGGCAAGGAGCTGATGAGAAACAAGTGCTGAAACCTCTTCTATTCCCTTTTCACTTTAGCATATAACATTGTGAGTTTCATATAATGAAAATTTAAAATCATAACCATTTTTTTGCTATGGAGTTTTTGTTGTTGTTGTTGTTGTTTGTTTGTTTTGTGAGGAGGGGGGTTCAGGTTATAACTCAGTCATAAAAACAAAAAGAATTTTAAGAATTTGTTGAGAGTCTCAGTGATTTGGTGCTTTTGCCACAGTCTAACTTACTATCATGTAATCAAGTTTATCTCATTTATTTAATGTCTAGTCATTTTATACCTGAATGGTCACATTACCAATCTTACTTTATTACCTGGAAGGAATGGGGAATATAATTTAAAATGGGGCATTTCTCTTCACCTATAAAATAACACTGTACAGAATGGATGAGCTGGAAGGTTCTCTTCATTGTCTATTCCAAGTATACAATGAACCATTCATTGTGCCGCCTTTTGAATTTCAGAGCCCAGGACAAGGCAGCCATGCAGTTGAGTGAGTTGGAAGAGGAAATGGACCAGAGAATTCAGGCTGCAGAACACAAGACTCGGAAAGACGTGAGTTTCTGAGACTGGACATTTATTCAGCAGATCTTTATGGAGCACTTCTGTGGGTGTTGCTCCTGGACATTCCTCTCAGTGACAGGGTGTAAGCACAGAAGGTCCAGGCTCCCAGCAAGGGGATTTTTACTAGTGGTGCCACCTGTGGCATCATTTTTTTATCCTGCAGTGAGAGCACACATGGCTAGCAAGTTGCTACAGGCATGTGGTCTCTGCAGCCACAGTACACCAGTCCAGGAACTCACAGGACCTCACTGTGCTTTGGCACTGGAAGGAAACCTATTGGCCAGCCTGTCCCAACAGCCACTTCACACTCTTCTAGTCACAGTCCCTCTGGAATGTTATGTCCTAGCTCACTAAAGATTTTCCCTAACATTCCCCCAGTCACCATGGCTCTCCGCAGCTCCCCGGGGTCTTGGTTCAATGGCATCACTGCTGAGGGCACTGCTTTTGCTCCAGCCATTTTCTTAGCCTTGGTGATTATTGTCCCATTTCTTCCATTTTGCCAAAATGCAAAGCTCAGATAAAATCGCAACTTCTTGATGCCCTGCCCTAGTTCTCCAACCACATTCATCTTTTCCTGACCTTGGTGACAATTCTCCGTAGAGGGTATATTGCATTGTTTCAGGTTCTTATTTTTTTTAATATTGTTAACAGCTTTATTGACATACACTTGGCATGCAATAAACTGCATAGAATATTTAAAGTGTAGAATATGTAAAGTTTGCATCCTCACACAAAACATCTGTCATCTGTGATGTTTCTATTTACCATAAAAATTTCTTTATGCCCCTTACTTAACAACCTTCCTTCCCTCCTTCTTTGTCCCTCCTTGCCAGGAAACCACCCTTTTGTTTTTTTGTCACCAAAGATTAGTTTGAAGTTTTGAGAACTGCATATAAGTGGAATCTTGCAGTATGAACTATTTCTTGTCTGACTTCTACTCAGTGCAATTATTTTATAACTCTGATACATTATATTGCCATTTATCTATATTCTTTTTATATGTGGTGGTATCCCATTTTGTGATCATATCCACAGTTTGTCTATCCATTCATCTATTGAAGGACACTTATTTCCAGGTTTTGGCTATTGCAAATTAAGGTGCTATGAATATTCATATATAAGAACTTATGTAAGCGTATACTTTGATTTCTCTTGATTAATTTCCTAGAGTGGAATAGTTTGATCATCTGTGTAGGTATATGTTTATTTGTTTAAGATACTGTAAACTGATTTCCCCAGTATTTGTTCAGCAGTGTATGAGAATGGTGTCCTTTAGCATTGGAATAGGTGTATAGAGAAATTTTGTTATGCTTTTGTTTCCATTTCTCCAATGACTGATGGTGTTGAGGATTTTTTCATGTGCTTAATTGCCATGTATGTAACTTCTTTGGTGAACTATAAAAATCTTTTGCTGGTTTTAAAAAATATGTCATTTTCTTGTTACTGAGTGTTCATAGTTCTTTACATATTATGAATATAACCCCTCATCAGACACCTGACCTAGAAACATTTTCAAATAGTGTCCTTTCTTTTCAGTCTTCTAACAGTACATTTTGAAGAGGAGAAAATTTTAATATTGATGAAGTCTAATTATAAACTTCTTCTTTCATCAATTATGCTTTTGGCATGTTATTTTAAAACAATCTTTGATTAGCTCAAGTTACAAAGGTTTTCCCTTATGCTTTCTTTGATAAGTTTTATTGTTTTAGGTTTTACACTTTACATTTTGTTTTACATTTTATTTTTTATGATGAAATTTTAATTTTTAATTAAGTATACCCTATAGGCAAATGAGGATTTAGAACATTTTGTATTCTTTAATGAAGAATTACAAAGTGAATCCCTATGCACCAGAGAAATAGAACATTGCAAGTACCTTTAAAGTCTGGCTACCCTTCCCATCCCTCATTCTATAAAGATTTCTCTGAATAGTTTATTAGCGATGTCTTTATTTTTATTATGGTTATGTACATGTAAACAGTACATTTTGCAACTTTATAAAAACAGAATTATTCTGCCTGAGTTTTTCATGGGCTTGCTGTACATTAACAGTATGTTGCTTACATTTTGTTTTTACATTTTGTTTAGGTTTTACACTTAGGATCCATGGTTTAAGATATGGTTGTTCTTTCTTTTTTTTAAATATTAATGTGGTGAATGACACTGATCATTTTTTTGAATGTTAAGACAAACTTGTATCCTATGATAATCCTTGGTTGGTTGTGATGTATTATTATTTTAATGTATTGTTAAATTCAGTTTGCTAAATTGTATTTATCATCTCTGCATATGTATTCATACGTGACATCAGTTGTGGTTTTATTCTAGTGCCTGTGTAATTGGGGTTCAGGCTGATGTCCGTCTCATAGAATGAGTCTTCCTCCCATGTCAGTTTGTGAAGAGCTGACTGGAACCACCACCATTTCTTACCTACATCATGTAATAAGTTGTCCCAGCATCTGCCTGTTGTAGATGGGGAATGACATAAAGTAGGTAGAAATGATTTTCTTTATTTAGCTCTGAGTAAAGTATCTTTAAGCTATAGAGGCGATAGGTTTGGTTTTATAGCCATGGATCCAGTGAAGATACTTGCATCCAAGTTGGTTTCTATGTCAGAGATGCTGCCTGCGTTAACACCTGCTTGTAAGGCTTTGGTGTCTCCATCCACCTGTGAAATGAGCAGTACTTATTGTACAGGTGAATAAAGATAACTCCTTAAAAAAATTAGATGCTGTTAGGGAAAATGTTGTTCTTCAGTCTTTCACATAGATTATTTAATTTCCATGGATTATTCAACTTATGCAGATCATTTAATTTTCGAGTATTTATTTAGATCATTTAATTTATGGGGGTTATATAATTTATATGCATCATTTAATCTATTTGAATTACTTAATTCTCACAGTCATGCAATAAGGAAATGGAGACATAAGGTAAGTAGTTTGCCCAACCTTAACTACCAGTAAGTGAGTAGTAAGACCCTTGAACTCGGCAGGGTATCCACATGTGGGATCATGCATCTCTGCAGAGAGGTATGACCACACCCCCATGAAACTGGCTTCCTGTCACTTCTTGGCCCTGTGTCACAATGTTAACAGTCTTAAAGGTATCACTTCAAGGTGGTGTATGCATGTGGATAATGAGATCCTTCCATATCTGTAGGTTTTAATTCCAGACCCTCTGCACATCTCAAGCCATCTGGTTTCTTCCTGCAATCCCCATCACCCTCCCTACGCAGGACAATTGAATTCAGCTTAGTTTGACACAAAGTGCTTCTCACTTATGAGCTTTTGAAGGCTTCTTATTATATAAGGCTAAGCCTACTTAAATAAACAAATTATTTTTTTTTTTCTTTTAGGAGAAACGCAAAGCAGAGGAAGCCCTCAGTGATCTCAGACGTCAGTATGAAACAGAAGTAGGAGACCTTCAGGTTACCATAAAAAAACTAAAGAAGGTAGCTATGTGGCAACTTGACTTCCAGGATCAGCCTCAGTATCTCAGTATTTCCATAATTAAGAATTCTAATTATAAATTGTTTTTTGTGTGAAGAAGCTGTAAATATGCTACTCTTACAAATGAGTTCCAGAGAGGGCAAATAACTTGATCAAAATTACACAGCTAATGACTGATGGAGTCATCTTACTGCAAGTTGTGCCTTCTCACTTATACCAGACTTCCTGCTTACCTGGTTATTATATGAAAAAACAAGATGATTCATGTGACAGTATGTTAAAGGCAATAATAAAATCATAGAAATGTGTGCAAATTTATTATTGCTATTAACTTATGTCATTGGTTCTGAGAAACTCATTTCCCCCCATAACTTTTCTTCTGCAAAGTCAGAATGTGTGTAAAACACAGTGTTCTTCTCAGTCACAAGCAACCATGTGGTAGTCATGATGTAGTTGTGTAAAAACCTTCCATTGCTATCATCTGTCAAGATGAAGAAAATCCAGAGCTGAAGTGCTTACACTTTATCAGATATGAGATATATTTTGATCAAAGTATAGACATTCCAGAAATGCACACCCACAAATCCCCTCCATTTCAGGAGATGGAAACTCTTTATAGAAAGGACACTTTTGCTCCCCAGGTTGAACCAGATTAGTCTAGTAATACTAATGAGTCAAGCAGTAAGCACATGTATGCATTTACACAATTGTGCGTGTGAGAGTGTGTGTGAGAGTGTGTTTGTGTGTGTGTGTCTATCTTCATATCTTGCTTACATGTTATTGGTTTCAGTTATTTAATAAATATTTCTTGAATTCACCATGATGAAAACATAGGTGAATCTGACTCTAACTCTGCTCTACAAAAATCTTAGACTTTAGTAGGGATAGGAAGACATTTATAAAACAATTACCATGCAGCATAGGAAGTGTTACATGCAGAGAATGGAAGTGTCCAGACTCAGATGCAGCATAATTGAACAAAGCAAAGACTGGATTGCTTTATAGTTGAGTGCTTTCCAAAATAAGGCTTTCTCACTATTTCTAAGAAAATTAATTTAACAACAAAACCTCTTTTCAGGCATTTAAGATAAAAACTTAACTTAAACTCTTTATGGATTCTATGTCATTTAATGATGTATAAAGTCATATATAATGTTGAAAATTGAAGAATTCTCATATCTCTATTCAGGGATATTCCTAAACTTAATTCAGTGACAGTAAATTTGTGAAGTTACAGCTTTTATATGTCCTTTCAGCTTGAAGAACAATCAAAACACATAAGTCAAAAAGAAGACGTAGCAGCATTAAAAAAACAAATTTATGATTTATCAATGGTAAGAATCACCTTTTCACTTTCAAAATTACATTTCCTGCTAGACAACATAGACATAATCACACGATTATTTCAGTGCTTTAGGAATGGGAACTTAATGAGAAATTGATACCATAGTTAGAGAAAGTTTTTAAAGTACTTTTGAGCAAAGGTGTTATATATGCAGATTTTTCCCTTCAGCAATATGCCATTTATTATAAATGGTTTTATTTATTTTTATTTAATAAAGACATGGAAGTTAAACTTTACTCAGTATAATAACCCATTTTTTTTTGTCATCGACTCTACTTCATAGCTCTGGTGTTGTAAGACGAGATGCCCTGAACTTCCTCCAACTGTTCTCTTTCTCCCTTTTCTATCTTTTCACCACCAGATCTTTACTTTTACTGCTGCAAAAATTGATAACATTTATATCTGTTGTGTTACCATTACTAATCTTGGATTTTTTGGTAAACATTTCTTGGATTTTTATGATTGAGTTCCTGGTTTCATATAAAAAGAAATCCTGTTGTCTTCATAATATCATTGATACATTAAGACTTCTTATTTATTTTCTTAGTGTATAGAATTTGGTTCATTTTTTTCTCTTAATAATATTAATTTTGGAGTCCACGAAATTTTAGATTTTATGAGACTGACCTTTTTTAAAACTTGCAATCTAGCCATGTGCCATCCTAGAATTTATTTTCATAGGATTCTTCCTTGAATTTTGTATTTCCTTGTATTTTGCATATTATAAATTCCTTCCATATGGGTTGTCATTCTCATTTTCTATAGTCCATTCTTAAGAGAAGCATCTCCAGAAAGGATATGTGAGAGATACATTTTCTCATTTTTAGAATATTTGAGCATGTATAATTTCCCCTCACCATTTGTTGAGAGTTTGTCTAGATAAATAGTATTTTTTGGGTCTCTTCTAGTATTTATTGTTTTGTTTTTCCCCCACACCTGGGAATCCTTGGTCTTAGTTCTCATTTTGTCTTGAAGGATCAGCTTGATCATCTTAGACAGGTGGTGGGGAGTTCTATGCAGCTATGTAAACAGATCTGTTAACTTCAAAGTGTTTCCCCTAAGACAGTGTTACCTAGGAGCTCAATGTGTGAAGCTGGCTGTCATGCTGTGAGACCCCAGTTCCCAAAATAAGTGGGTTAGGGATATTTAGGGAGCATCTTTAGCATTCCTAAAAGCAGTCATTCAATTATTTTAAATAAATCATCTGTCTTGTTGCCCTGGAAATCTGTCTGTTGCTATTCTATACTATGGTAAGGGAGGGAAAATACTTGAGTGTGGGTGCCTTAATATACAATATTAATCACTATTTCCAGCTTCACTTCTCATTCCCATATTCTGGGGTTTGACCTAGTTATTTATTTGCCTCCTTTTGTGTTCTACAGAAGAACCTTCAACATGTTTCTTTTATACAGCTGTGTCCATTTTTTGGTTACTATAACAAAATGCCAAAGACAGACTGACTTTATAAAAACATTCATTTAGCTCACAGTTCTAGAGTTCCAAGGTCATTGCATTGGCATCAGCTCTCCTTTTTGGTGAGGACCTCATGGCAGACGGCAAGAGCAAGTGTGACAGGGAGCGATCATATCACCAAACAGGAAGCTGGAGAACAGCAGCTGAGTCCCAGAATCCTTTCTGAGGGCAGCACCCCCAGTTGACCTAAGGGGCTCCCACGAGGCTCCATCTCTTAAAGGTTCCATACCCTCTACACCACCAAACTGGGGACAAAGCTTCCATTTGTGTAACCTTGGGGTACCCAAATTACATTGAGGCCTTAGCAAGCACTTTTCCCTAACTGTCTTCCTTTCACAGCACGTTTTCATCCAATTCCTTTTTCCATAAGTATGTTTAAGTCACTTGACTGCTGATGGCCCCTCTTCCATTCCCTTAGGTGTCACTGGTTCATTTCCTCTGGTATTTCATGTTATTGGGATTTCAGAAGGGAAAAAGAGAAGCTTATGTACTCATTCACTGTCTTGAACCGGAAGCCTCCCATGATTTTTTTAAGTGAAGAGTGTAGAAATTCCCTAACCAATACGCGTTAGAGTATACAACTTAAGGTTAGGTGATAGGATTTATTGTTAAAAATAGCCAGTATGCCTGGTAATTAGTGCAATAAATTTCACAGAATGTTTATCAGTAGTTTTATAGCTCTTACTAAGTAAAGCAGGTGTTCAAATGTTTGGTCTCAGTTAATTTGCCAATAGCGTGTTAACGTACTTCATGATAAACTCTTGACTATTGTAGTTTTCTAACAAGTGTCAAGTATTAAAAGGAAGAAGGATTTTGAGGGTTTAGATTTTTGACACTTTAATAATTTATAATAATGTCAAATTGCCTTGAATAGACAGTTAATTCTTTGAAGAGCAAGATTTGAAGAACTGGGAAAGGATAAGAGTAACATGTGTAAGGGTTATATTATACTTGGCTTCATTTCTCCCAGGAGCAAGAAACTCTGAATCTAATGCCCCACCCCATTCTTTTGTCTAGGAAAATCAGAAAGTTAAGAAAGATCTTTTAGAAGCACAGACAAACATAGCCTTTCTTCAGAGTGAACTAGATGCTTTGAAAAGTGATTATGCTGACCAGAGTCTAAATTCTGAGAGGTATGAAACTTTGCATTTTATTTTTCAGTTTGGATGGAATATTTTTTGAGATGATTATCATGGGAGTTGAAGCTTGGTTATGTGATCTATGCAATAATAAAGGGTTTTGCATTAACTTTTGCTGATGTGTTCTATAATATCTAAGGATTGTACTTTGAGTGACAGATTTCCTAAGTTTTGTTTATTGGTGTGTTTAATTAAAAGAAATCAGATTAATTGCTTGAATTAGTGCCTGCTTAGGACAGTGCAGGGCTTAATAAAGTTTGTATCAACCAGGAGCTAGAAGAATATACCTAAAGTATCAAGAGTCTATGCTTGTTAAAATGCTTTCCCAGTAGGAATCCTGGCCTACAACATAAGAACCACAAGAGTAGTCCTCTTAATTTTGTTTTTCTATGCTTTTGTTTTGCAAGCTGATATTAATAACATAAAACCTAATACACAGAGACATGTTTATACATAAGAGGTATAAACATTTGGGGAAAATGTTTTTTGTTTGCAAACTTTAATCAGAATTAAGTTCTTGTAATAGAAAACAACAAAGCATTTATTAAGTATGTTATATATAGATCCTTAGATCTAGAGGAGTTATAAGTTTGGATATATAAAATAAAAGATAAAGATAAGGTCTCTGCTTTTCAAGAACTTCAAATTTAGTTGGGAAAATAAAAAAGTTTACAGAGGTAAACAATGTAAGCGCTAAACAGTGTCAGAAACAATACTATTTTCAGTGCCATGTTTGGGGTTAACTGCCATGTGATTAAAGAAGAAATTTTCTTTTTATTCAGTCTTCCTTAAAGAGGATACACGAGGCTAGGGCAGGTGGAAGAGCAGGTTTGTGTCCTCAAGGGCAAAGAGGCAGCAGTGATAACAACTAAAACCGGTTGCAGTGCTGTCTGCCAGGCGCTGTCTTTTGTACTTATAGTACCACTTAGTCCACTAGGGACCTTCCTTATCTCCATTTTATGGACAGGAAAAGAGAGTCTTGGAGACGTCCCAGGTAAGGCATTGAGCAAACCAGAACATAAGAGAGGAATAAGACTGGTTAGGGGAAAAGCAGACAGACAAAAAGAGAGAACTTTGGATGGAAAAATGAAAGATTAAAAATAAAACATGAAAAAGGCTATAGTGTAAGGACCCAGAATTTTTGTCTAAGGGACTTAAATTCTTATAGACAACCGGGAAACTTTTAGCTTTATCAACCAGGGAGTAACTAGATTGCTTATTTTGGAGAGAGCTTGATGGCCTAAAGAGGTTTGCGAAGCTGCTGATGGGTTTGTCTGCTTAACAATGGTACAGTCTGAAGAGGAAGTCAGGGCTTCTGTAATTAAAGCAACAGGGATTGCAGTGTGTTTCTCTCGTTAGCCCAGAAAGCCAGGTTCTGTAGATTCCCCTATGACTTAGGGTGAGTAGGAGGGTCAGAGCAGGTACTCAGGATGAGGTGGGAAAGGAGGAAATAAGAGGAGCTGGGATTAGATAAGGCTTGGAGAGGGCAGAGAAGGTTCCGAGAAGGATTAAAGATTAAAGTACCATTACTTTCCAGAAAGGGAACTTTTTACCATGACTGCCCAGGAGAGGGAACTCCAGGGCAGAGTTCAATCTCAATGAGAAACAGAGGCAGGCCAGCTGGTGGGTGCTGAGCAATGGGTGAGGAGGGGAAGCTCCACATTTATGATGTCAGATATGGGGCAGAGCTTTGCACAAGGAAGCACAGGTTGTGGATAGAGGCTGGGAAGGAGAGGAGGCTGCTGACACTACAGGGCACAGAGCAGGAGGACTGGGAGAGAGAAGATGGTGGTCAAGGATACATGACTTTTGAAGGGTCCAAAAGGACCTGGGAGGTTAGGTATAGATCAGGCAGGACTTGACACCTAATTCTTATTTCAACACAAAATATAATTTTACAGGGATCTGGAAATAATCCGAGAATACACAGAAGATCGAAATAGTCTTGAGAGGCAAATTGAAATTCTCCAGTAAGTTCTCATATAAACTGCTCATTGCACTTGCATTTTAGTTATTTTTTGTTAATATCACACATGCTGTGTATTATATGATTTGCCATATTCCAAAGTCCAGATGGGCTTGAAGGTCAGTGTATATTTCTTCTCACTGTGCTGCATTCATCATGTCCACTCAATTTCTGAAGCGTTTAATCCTAAATAAATTATTCAAGTGCAGGGAACAGAGCATAGTTATTAATAGTCTTGCAAGTTAGGTGGTATGTTTAGCATGTCTTTATTATGCCTCTGTAATGAGCAACGACCCTGACCTCAGCTTTCTTTGCAACTCTGCACACAGAGCTTGTCAGCCTTTCACATTGGTGAGTGATGAGTGACACAAGAAAAAGCCTATGTCACTATTCTTTCTCAATTTATTATGCTTATTTAGAGGCATATTTTTCTTAGGATTTTTTTTATTCTTCTTCCCAAGAAATGCTCTATCCATTCTGTCAACTTCTTTACTGCGCTGCAGTAATTTCATTTCCTGATGTCTTTCCCACAAAACAGTGACCTTCTCTTCCCCTTTCATCCTTTTCCACCTCTGCAGCATTCTGTTTTCAGTTTACCAAATGAAGTAATGTCAAGATTGACAAGGTGTTTCCTTCACCATTTTTGAATATTTATTAAGTCTCTCCTGCAAAATTGTGGAGTCCATAAATTTGTCCACCATCCATCCATTCATTCATTCATTCAGTAGATTTTTCAGTGAGCACTTTTTATGGGTCAGATATGCCAGGAGCTGTGGATAGAGTAGCAAGTAAGAGGAAAAAAAAAAATCTCTCTTCTTATAGGACTAGTCTAGAGAAGAAATGTGGAAACTGGTTGATAGAAATAAATACAAAATATCAGGTGAGAGAATGGATAATAAAGGAAAGTTGCTTATTCCCTAAGGGAGCTCTGGCCTGCCCAAGAAGGTCAAAGATGTCTTCTTAGAGGAAGTGATAATTGAACTGAGCAAAAATGAAGTGGCCATAAGCAGGGAAAATTAGCCACTCTGTGAGGCAATAGTTCTGTTCCTCATTTTGTAGCTGGGGAAGGCTCTGATACAAAGGGCCTTTCATCGGGTCATATGGAAGTACTTCAGTTAGGATTTGAATCCAAATCTGTCTGAGATCAGGATCCAAGTGTTTACTTGGTACACAAGTCCCACTACTCCATGGGTAGGTTGAAGGAGTAGCAAGAGGATAATGTACCCATGCCTGGCCATGCTTGGCCACTGGGATGTGTGAACTGGCTGTCTGGGTTCAGGCATTTGGGAAACAGAGACCTGCATGAAATAAACAGGAAAGGTACATGAAGGAAGAGCGGATTCCACCTCTTAGCTAATTCATTTCTAAAATACCTCAAGATATTTAACAGAGATAACTAATCAGTTGTTGTATTTCAGATATTGAATTGTGATCTCAGATTCTGAGGTTTGAAGGGGAATGGGAGAAAGCTGCAAAGGGTGACAAGTAGTTCTACATTCCGAACATCACTGACTAAAGAAAGTGCTAATACAGATCCCCACTAACACTTTGCCTATCTAGAACAGCTAACCGGAAGCTGCATGACAGTAATGATGGCCTCAGGAGTGCCCTTGAAAGCAGTTACAGCAAATTCAACAGATGCTTGGTATGCCATAACATTTTGTAATTCATCTTGCTAGTGATTGAATAATTTGGAAGTGGTGAAATCATGCAATATCTTAGTGGAGAATTTCACATGGATCTTATAATGAGAAAGCTCAAGAAGCTCTTTCCAAAAAATACAGAGACCAGTTTTCTAAATTAAAAATATGCTACCCATCTACAGAAATAAATGTCTTGGTGTTAACCAATTCTTAAGTTTCTAAGAAACTAGAGAAAGACATATATGATCTTTGACCTGGAAGAGTTTATAATGTAACAGGTAGTTAAGATGTATACATATGAGTAGCAATAATATGAGAAAGAGTAGGGAGGCTCATGGTGTTAAAAATATTGTTTTGCCAATTAAGAGGAGCAGAATCACTAGGGGGTGAGTTTAGACATGTTGAGTATTCTTTATGATAGGGAGATCATCGGATTGACAGTTATTTGTATGTGTATGTAAAATGCTTGCATGGAATATTAAAAATGTATGTATCTAAGTGCATAAATAACCTATCACCAGGAAAATGATTCTAAATGCTACAGGGTAAGCCAAGCCCCATTTGGAATTTTGAGGACCTTCCCAATATTGCATTTGTCTTGAAGCCTCTTATTATACTTTTGAGGGTCAGCTTAAGCATAAGATTCCAGTGCCAGTCACTAAGTCAAGTTATGGTTCCAGAAGAGATATGTCCAAGGAAGTTGATGTTACAGTGTCCTGGAATATCTGGGTAACCTGGGTAGTCTCTGTGGAATTTGTAGTAGAGTATGATCTTAAGATCTGATGACTGTGGTCATCAGCTGCAATTTTTCAATTGATTTTCATGTTCACATTTGCTCATGTAAGATACCAAACTTTCAGTTACATTAGAAGTTAAATTGGGTGTGTGTGTATAAAATGTTTACATGGAATATTAAATATTTATTATTGCAGCGCATAAATAATGTATCACCAGGGAATACGATATCTAGAAGCAGTCCCAAATTTAATGGTCATTCTCTTCAACCTCTGGGATATGACAGGTATGTTAACACTTGTTTATTGTTTTGAGTTCTAGATCAAAGTTAAAATGAGGACAAATTTCCTTGAGGTGAATTAAAATAATGGAATATTTTTTGGGCACTAATTTATATTTTCTGTGATATTACTTTAAGCTTCTAAAATATGAACCATGTCAAAACTATAAGAAAAAATGTTTCAGAGAGTGAAAAATTACTTCCTTAAGATGCTATGACTTGTTTTTATTCATGCCAGCCACTACCTCATCCCTAATCATGTCTTGTTTCTTGAAAGTGGACTCTGAGAATTGTAACTTGAGTTACTGATATTGTGGTATATGATGTTGAGGCTATTGTCATGATCTGTCAATGTTTAATAGATCAGCATAATATATGAACTATTTTACAGAAAGAGGAAACATTCAACACAGATAGAAGCCTGGCCAGAACAGGTTTATGAACTACTGTATTAAAGGAGTCACAGAGAAATTCCAAACATTAGAATTTAGCCCTATTTTTAACCAAATAAAGTGAAATATTGGGCCTGCTATTTCTTGAGACTTAGTAATAACAAAGATTGCATGCGAATATGTGTACCCGTATGTACAGTGATGGTCATTAAAAAGTTAATTTTATGCTATGTCAAAGTCTGGAAGTAGAGGTGAATGCATGAACTAGAGTTTCCAGCTCACAGTGTCTTTGCAACTTTGTAACTCATGTACAGCCCCTTTCATTTGGATTCTTTGGGTATAGAGAATAATGTGCATGATATCCTGGTCACATTGCCCTTCAGGAAGGTCTGATACCAAAGCTTATTGGTGATCACTTCGAAGAAGATACCATCTAAAGATCTTGGTGTAAAATCTTTTTATTGTTCACTGATTTCTTAAATAAAAATTTTAATGGTTTTTTTTGATTTATAAGCTGCTGACTACTCTGTTACTGAGAAATATAGATTTTTAAAACTATATAATTATGATGCATTTTTCTGGACTAATATTTCAGATCAGCTCTAAGCAAGTAGTAGGAAAGGGTACATAATGAAGAATTATGTTAGAAATTTCACCATGATTTCTCTTGGAAAGAGTAGACACCATGAATAAGGTTCACAAGTACTGGACTGAGAACTCCTCCACACTGTATTCTGAGGGATAATATCATCATATCACCAGGGCCTCAGAGTAACAGAGTGTTAGACTTTCATTGCTGTGAACAAAATACCTAACAAGAACAATTTAGAGGAGAAAACATTTATTTTGGCTCATGTGTTCAGAGATTTAGTCCATGGTCAGCTGAGTCTATTCTGGGCCAAACTGAGGCATCATAGCTGAAGGGCATGGTAGAGGAGCACTGCTTTGTTCATGAGAGATTGGAAGCAGAGAGAGGAAGGGGAAGGGGCTGTGGGGAAGGTGCACACTTTGGGGAAGGCAGCAAATGTAGCTCTCAAGTGCTCATCCTGTGGAAATAGAACTGGAGGCCATCATTATCTGTACTGTTGTTCCTTTCTAGGGGGTAATTAATTTGATATGTGAAGTTTTATTAATATTGTATTTTCTTTTTGATACTAATGTAAAAACTTAATAAAAGCTTGTTATGTGTTACGTGTTATAGTTTGTGTAGCTTTATTTAATTTTAAATTGCAAGTTTGTTTTGGTCTTGTGTTTTTTGTAAGAACTATAAACAAAAAAATAACTCATTTCATGATTTTTTACATAGCTAATTGTAATGAAAATCTCAGGGCAGGTAAGAGTGGTTTACTTTATTTGAGTTTGTGAAAATCCATTTGGCATCTTTGTTTTTAATTTAGAGACTAGATATTTATGAGATAGTCTCTCAATTCAGAATTTTGCTTATTTTTTGCCCCTTATCAAAAATAGAAATATGTTAAGAAAAAAAGAGTATTAATGAAGAATGGAACTGAAGTAGTCAGTACTACATTAGAATAAAAAAAAGGTTTTTGTTCCTCACAGATTGACCTAAATGCAATTTCAGAAGAAGAATTTTATAAATTATGAAGCAGTGCAAAAATATATATACACATACACACATATTCACACCTGGCTAACTACATAAATTAATATCTTATATGAAATTCCTGTATTAGAATAAAGATGTTATACTTGCACAAGTATTGAGAGAGAATAGTGGCTAAATCACCTTTTTAGTTAATTTTAAAAATTTTGCTAATGGCTCAAAAATGTTTTTGTCTCCTCAGGTTTATATACTTCTACTTATTTACATTAAGATCACCCTTTCTCTTCTAAGTATATCTTATCTCTTCTTATTTCTTCCATTTGAAGACCATCTACCCTTCCCAATCCCCTTTGCCATAAGTCATGTAGGCAGAGTGCTAGAATGCTGCATGGGTATGTGGTGGGAGTGCTAAATAAATCCTAGTCATTGTTTTATTTCAAAATGGGCTTTGATTCTTATGAAAAAGGAATAGCAAACTAGGAAAGTATGCAATTTCTTTGAATTATCTTGCTTGATGTTAGTTTTTCCCCCACCCATAAAATATTAGATTTTCACAAATGGAAGGATCCACTGAATAAGAAATTCTAGGTTTATCTGATGAAGCATCTTCTAAAAGGGCCTTTCCAGCAAATGTGTCAACATGGAGTGACAGAAAACTCATCTCATGTCAGAGCATTCTGGTAGCACACATTTCTCATTGCCTGTCATTTTCACCATGTTGATCCGAAATCTGACTCCCAGAAAGCTTATCAGTTAATCCTTATTTTGTTTTATGCAACTTTAGAATACTTAGAAGAGTTCTCCTTTATTTGTCCTCTCTTGAAGTATTTGAAGAGAAAACCCATCAAGACTTGAGTACAGTGAACTAGTCCATGTATCTGAGGCAACTATCCAAGCCTGGTTTATAGCATCCCCTTTAAATAGAGATGTTGTCCAAAAACAGAGACACTATTCAGAATGTGGTCTTGATCACATTGAAGTAAAAAGGCTCATGTTCTATGTCCATTTTTATTAATGTGGCTTGAGATTGCATGTGGATCTCTTTTATATCAGGAAACAAAGAAGGTGATTTTGCTTATTTTGGGGGGTACTGGGTATTGAACTCAGGGATGCTTGACCACTGAGTCACATCCCCAACCCTAGATTTTGTGTTTTATTTAGAGACAGGGTCTCACTGAGTTGCTTAGTGCTTCACTTTTGCCAAGGCTGGCTTTGATCTCACAATCCTCCTGTCTCAGCCTCTCAAGCCACTGGGATTACAGGCATGTGCCACCACAACAGACCCTCTGTTGCTTTGAACATTTTATTTCTCTGATGCTTCATCATGGCTCTTGGAAATTGAAGATGCTGGTATTCTTGACCCCATCCCTGACAGTCTGTCACCTGTGCATTTTTGAGAGTTGCAAGCTCCCAGGTAAAACAGTCTCTTCTTTCATTACCAGGTCATCCCGCTCTTCGTATGTGGATGAGGACTGTGACTCATTGGCCCTCTGTGATCCTATGCAGAGAATGAATTATGAAGTCGACAGCCTGCCTGAGAGCTGCTTTGACAGTGGCTTGTCTACCCTGAGAGATCCCAATGAGTACGACTCTGAAGTGGAATACAAGCACCAGCGGGGATTTCGGAATTCACAGAGGGTGCAGGAGAACTGTGCCGGTGACGCTTCAGACATGGATGTAAGCCGAGAAACCACTGCCCTCCGAGGCCTGCCTTGGATTGGATTGTTTCACCATCTTTGACTTGTATCTGTCATAAGAATCTGTTATAAATGTCATAAACTTGAAGCTTAGTCAGTAGTGTTTTGGTTTTCCATCAAATTAGGAAGAAGTTCTCATAGATTTGCCATTCAAGGCTTCTCTATTCCATAACATCATTGGCTGGAGATTGAACTATATAGTTTTCTTCTCTTTAATTCATGATGTATATGTGTAATGAAGGCTTTATTTTTAACCGCTTTTTACAAAACAGGTTCCTGATATAAGGGATGAAGAAACATATGGTTCAGAAGGTGTGGCTTCTGTTTTAGACTGGAAGTCCCAAGGGTCTGTTAGTGGAGGCAGCATAGTCAGTTCTTCAAGAAAACCCATCTCTGCTCTTTCACCCCAGGTAGGTAGCTTCCAAGACACTTCCCTTCATGAACACTAATAACTTTCTGTGCCATGGTACTTATTTAAGAAGAAAACTGGCACTGCCCTTATCACCCACTGTGGCGTCTTTCCTCTAGACAGATGTGGCAGGTGATAACTCCAAGTCTGCTAGCTCACAGAAGGCTTACAAGATTGTGCTTGCTGGGGACGCTGCAGTGGGGAAATCCAGTTTCCTCATGAGACTTTGCAAGAATGAATTTCGAGGAAACACAAGTGCCACATTGGGTATGGCCCCTGATTCATTTGGTAATGGGAAGATGAACTTCTTAGCTTGGTTTTCTTTTTTTTAGGGATTATATACACAGATATACAGACACAACTCTCTCTCTCTCTGTATACTTTCAAATATATATATATATATATATATATATATGTATGTATGTATATATAGCATGTGTGTGTGTGTGTGTCCTTGTCTACAGAATGGTTCTGTGTTTTGGGCAAAATCTCACATTATTGAGGAAAACTGATAAATAACAGCAGTATGTCAGATCAAACAATCCAAGTGTAGAGCTGGAGATGTTGGATTCGTTTGTTTAGCGTACGTATCCTAAGTCCCACCTAGAGGCAGGCTCTATTGTAGGTGCTAAGGACACAAAATGAAGAAAGCTGACTTAATCCCAGCCTATAGAGAATTTATATCCCAATGGAGAGGAATAGACTAAAGGGGGGAAAATACTTAAAAGCATGAAATTTGAAAAAAAGTGCAGGATTATACAAGGTGGCCAGGAAAAGTCTTTCTGATAAGATGTCGGCGATATTGCTGCAGTGACAGTATTGGTGACCAGTTTGTCACTATGGTCAGAATCAAAGCCAGATGTATGCTTCCATCTTCTGTCTCTACATTAGCATCAAAAAAGTTTTTATCTAGATGTCCCAAATTTACATAATAATCAGTTAAAGGAGTCGAGGATATATAAATTATCATATTTTCTTCTTTATTTAAAGAGTTTTTTGTTTGATAACCAGAAATGTTAGAACATATTGATTGCCCTTTTCACAATGGGTGACTTTGTACATTTATAGGGTGTATTCTCCGATACACCTTTGAAATAACAAACCTGAAAGTTCACTAGTTCATAAACAGACTACACAGTATTTGGTTTGGTTGCTAGAGACCATGACATGTACATAGGTGTAAATTTATGTGTGTAATCACAGTGTACCATATGTACATGCATATATGTATGCATGCAAACATACACACAAAACTACATATACATGTACAATATTATGTGTGTTCTTATGTATACAATATACATAATATACATGTATACATGCATAGGTCTACACATACACACCTATACATATCAGATATATACATAACACACATGTACATATATGTATATATATACAACATGCATATTCTTACGTGTATGTACACTCAATGCACACACACACACACACACACACACACACAAATACGACAGTCATCTAATCATCTGTGAAAACAGAATGTAGATGTTCCGTTTTCCATAGATTAAGCCCTTCCCCACATCAGCCAGTCTGCAGACAGGGTATCTGTATGCATATGTGTGATCTGACTTACAATTAGTATTTGAAGTTCACTCTCTTGAAGGCCGTGTTCATTCCTTTCTACCTCACTGAGCTTTGGTTTATTGGCTCTTCTCTCATCTTAAAAGAGGGCTCGAACGTAGCAAGCTAATGGAATGATTTACTCTCTTCTCCACTCTCATATTTCTTTTCAGGAGTTGATTTTCAAATGAAAACTCTCATTGTAGATGGAGAGCAAACAGTTCTGCAGCTCTGGGATACAGCTGGGCAGGAGAGGCAAGTGCTTTTCATAACGCTTCAGACTCCACTTAGTTTTGCAAAAACGAGCCTTATAGGATGCTTGGTGTTTTTTATATTCATAATTACATAATATTAGTAGACCTTTTAATTATATTAATATTACATTAGTATTAATTATAAGTTATATTATAATCTCAGTAATGCTCACCTTCTTCCACGTCCCCTCCTTGACATGAGTGTCAGTTGTGTAAAAGAGGGCATTTAAGCTTCTTTTGAGCTGATGTTCATATGCAACTAGAAGAGTGCACTTTCCTAACAGGGGAATCTAAGTGAAGCACCACTCCTGAATGCAGCATCAGAGTGAGGAACTACTTAGCTGTGCAAAAATAAGTGGTGGAGAAGACAACTTGTCTGCCTACCCTCCCACTGAGTTCAAGTTCAATGATACAAATTTGCTTTCATTGCCAATACAAATCTTGCATTCGTTGCATTCAAAAGTATAAAGAATATAGGTTTTAAACTTATCTAACCCTTTGAAATTACATAATTGTTTAACAAATAAGAATGGAATGTATGCCTCTGTCCAGGCACTTGATTCATTCAGTGTTCTGAGATTAATTGATCAGGTGGACACAAAGATATATCCTCATGTAGCTCAGAATCTCTATCAGAATGGAATTTTAACATTTTAAAGATGTCTGTGGTTGATATAACCCTAGATAAAATAATTCTCTGTTTAACCTCCTCTATGTCCTACCTGTGAAGTTGACATTTTTAAAAATTGTACTTCTCTGTTAATGTGGTCCTGCTTTGGGGTTAGAGATTCTTGGGATTGTTTAGTGGAAAAAAATAATTGGCTTTTCTAAGTCAGTCACCCATACCTGTATCCTGTTAACTTTCAGTGGTTCAATTGAAGCTGTAGAGATGGCCACTTCACAGCAATACATTGCTGTTAGAGTCTCAAATGGGGCTGATTTTAGAAGATGAGAAAACAAAAAATGAGTGTAAGGGAAATGAAGAATGAAGCAGCACCCAGCTGATGGAGTCACAAGGTGCTTTTCTGTTTCCCAGATTCAGGAGCATTGCCAAGTCTTACTTCAGGAAAGCAGACGGAGTTTTGCTGCTATATGATGTCACGTGTGAGAAAAGCTTTCTTAATGTACGAGAATGGGTAGATATGATCGAGGTAAGGAATCAAAATGAAGAAACAGAAAATTACGTGGAGGAGTTATAGACTTAGAAAATGCTATTGCTCTTTGTGGGGGTGAACTTGACTAGAAGCCTTTGATCCCAGCTGTCAGGAAGAATGGTGTACTGGAGGCAGAGTTTCCAGTGGCCCTTGGCAGCGTTGCTCTCTTCCCGGGAATTGCATAAGTTCCCCCAAAGCCACAGACACTACTGAAGGTAACTTCTGGGAATAAAACTTCCGGGTTCTCTTATAGATAATATTGGAACCCTGTGTAACCAAGTGAGAATGCAGGTCACCTGAGGAGAAGCAGCTTTCCAAACAAGATGGGGGTGTGGTTGGATGCATACTGTGGTTAAACATGTGTAGGAGCTTCCACGTGGATTAAGACATAGTTGAAACACCACCCGGATGTGAGCATGAGTTGAGGTCTGAAGGTTACAGCAGCTATGTTCTCAACCTTATTTTGGTTGTGATGTGGGGTCTTTCGACACCACAGGTACCTCTAATGTACCAGTTGGTATTTTAACTTGTGGGATAATATCTGTGGTGAAGTAGGTTTGTGTCTTTCATCTAAGGAGCTTTCATATCATTTGGTTTCATGCTAAATGATTTTTAAAAGTAGGAAATGATTTTGGCCACATTTAATGTGCTGTTAACAGTTATTAATCAACGAAAGTGAGGTTCAAGCTATGGTTCAGAATACTCTTGAAAAATAAACTAGCAGCTAATCTAACTTTTCAAGTTAGTACGTTATCTATAATTTTAAACAGACCTTAAACGCCAGTAGTGGATAAGCAGGACTGATTGCAGTCTGGTGTTAAGTTAACCTCTGGAGTTACATTCTCTAACTAGAAAAGTAATAAGAGAAATGACTGACGGTGGTTGGCAACAAGATGTCAACAATGATGAATAAATATGTACTTTGTTCTGCCAAAATTTCCTGACCTACTATCATTTTGCATGCAGTGAAATGTGTTCACATTTATGTTATATTTTGACTTCATAAAGTTTTCTATATGTTATGCTAACCTCTCTAACATCTGAGAAAGGAAGTTAGAAATGTACTATTGTCTCTTATAACGAGAAACCTGAGGCATAGAAAGTATATGGCCCTTACTTACATTTATTTAGCAGTTAGAGGCTCAGCACCAGAGTGAGCAGCAGATGAATAGAAGTCTTTAATGAGTAGAAAGGAATTCAAAAGTACAGGAGAGGCATCTGCTCAAGAAGAACAAATAGAGTTCCCTGGGCTGGAGAAGTAAGATCTGAGCAAAACGTTTTATTGTTGAAATTTGGGGCTTAGTCATCATTTTAAATGTTTGCATTATGCTCAAGAAAAGAAGGCACAAAAGGCAAGGTTGTTCTCAATGAAAAAGCTCTTACATAAAGTGGCACAGCTATCGCTTGCTGAGCGCCTGCACATGGTAAGTACCCTTTCAGCCATCAGTGTCACCTTTTCATAGGGTCTCAAAAGGAAGAAAATGTCACGCAAGATGAATTCTTAAATTTATTACAGGAGGAAAAAATAGATACCATATGGAATTTGAATTCTGCCTTAGAGAATGGGCACAATGAAGCTTCTCCACAGCTTCATCTAATTGAGGCAATTCTATGGGCCATTTATATGATCACAATAAATTGGGTGGAAATGAGTGGTGCCATCACTAAACAGGCCAGAGAACAGAGAAGCACTAGACTGTCGGTGTGAACCGACCCTCTGAATTGATAGTTGCTATACTTCGATTGAAAGCTGCTAGATTTACAAAATCTTGTTAACAGAATCATGGATAAAATGAAATTATAACTTTTTACTTACCTGTTTTGAATACTTTACTGATTGAATGTTTAGGTCAAAGCTGAATGGAGAAAGATACTTGCGATGTGAAATCTGATCCTGACTTTCACATATTAGAAAAAAAGAATTTTTGTTTTTCGTTTCTTCCTCCTCTTTGCACATATGTTCTGTGTTTGGGGGATGTATCTGATGGTAAAAGTAAGAGCCTTGTCCTATGAAGCTTGTATTTTAGTGGGGGAGTCAGATAACAAGCAACAACCATAAGGAAATAAAAGAGATAGTCTGATAGTAAGTGATAAATGTTATAGAAACAAAAGGAGAAGCAGGCTGCAGTTTTCACTGTGTGGTCACGGCAGCTTCAGCTTCACCAAGAAGGTGATGTTTGGGTCAAGACTTGAAGGAGGTGTCATTTAGATGCTTAGCTTCATGGCTACTCAAGTGAATATTGATTAATGACTTCCTGTTGAATTCTGAGATCACTAAAGAATACAATTCATGAGCACATGAAAGGGTGGAGCAGCTAGTTTTTGGAAGGACATTTTTCTTCCTTCTCCCCTTTGCTTTCTCTGTATTCTGATGCCTTCAATCAGAGAAAAATTATCTGAAGAGAAAGGAAATCAAATATAATTTCACTTTAAGGCTCTTGTCTTGATCCTGTATCAGGTATAGCACCAAGCTAAATGAGTCTCCCGAGATCTTTAGGCAGAGAGTAATTTCCACATATTTGTGTCAGGGCTGCCACTTTTTCTTGTTTAGGAGACAGAATCCTGTTTTTCTTGGCTAGTCAGGTTACTGTCTTTTGTTGTCATCATAGCCACTGAGGTAGACTATGCTCTCAATAACCCTTTCAATTTATAGAGAAGGAAATTGAGGCAGAAGCCTGAGAGTACTTGACTATTCTTACATAGCCTGTGAGGGACCAGGTGCTGGGAAGAGTAGGTGCTGAGTTAGCTTTGCACTCATACCTTAGGGTCAGTGTTGCTCTGAATGCTGGGAAGCTGTGGCATTTTTCATATGCTGATAAGCTCTAGCCTTTGGATCTATTACTTTGAATGTCCAGCAGTGGATTCTTATGAAAACTGTTGACCTTTAGGACTTTATATTTTGCTTTTATTGGAAACCAGAGAACAGAGAATGGTGAGTGGTGAACTTTTGAACCCCGTTTTTCCCATGACAGCTAAAGAATTACTTGTGTTTTGCACCTGTGATAATGAAGTTGACTAGGACTCATCATTGTTTGAAGTGAAAGCTGTAGAAAATTATGTCGGTGCCCAAGCCAAAAATAATTCTGTGGTCATGCTTCTTAAGTTTATATTGGTTTGTCATGCTCTGTGTGCTAGAAATGAGAAATTAGCAGATGCATGTTTCCTTTGCTGTAAAGCTGATTAATCCCAGTGCCTTTTACCCTTTTCATTAACCTAAGGATGCAGCATTGTATAATAGGGGCATTTGAGGTAACTTTGAACCTGGGTCCTAGGCCTAATATGTTCTTATTTGACCTCTCTGAATTTCAATTTTCTTACCAGTAAATGGTGGGGCGAGGGGAGGGGGTGGGTAAGGCTAGCTGAGCTTAAAGATATTTTGAGGTTTAAAGATACTATTTCAAGTATAACAAATAATTATTGTAATTGACAATCTAAGAGTTGTACAGTGATAATAAGTGTGCTCTTTATTCTACTGAAATGTGACTTAACATGACTTTGAATGCATTGAAAGCAGCTTGTATTCATGTAACATTTTTTTTCAAGAACTTCTGAAAATATCACCTGACATACAACTGGACAGTGGCAGCCGCTACTGCTGTTACTATTGTTGCTGTTGTCATTATATTTGTCCAATGTCTGATGTGTGCCCATTTTTCTTTCTTCTTGGTAGGATGCAACCCAAGAGGCTATTCCTATCATGTTGGTAGGAAACAAGGCTGATCTTCGTGACACTGCTGCTTCAGAGGGTCAGAAATGTGTGCCTGCGTATTTTGGAGAAAAACTGGCCATGGTAAGAGTGAGGGTGGGTCCAAATTGAAAAAGAATCTAGGGGTTCAGTAGCGTTGGGGTCAGTGGCCTTTCACTTTTGTCTACCTTTGCTTACGAGGTTCTTTGGTAAACCTCCACCCTGTTTGATGGGGTGATGGACTGTCCTTACCCAGTGGAACTCCCAGATCCCTACCTTCCTTGCACGAATGTAAGTAATGATGGCAAGGAGCAAATCCATGGTGGAAGGAAAACAGTCACAGAATCCTTTTCCCCCATTGAGTATTGTTGACAGAGAGCCAAAACAATCTTGCTGTCTTCCTTTGCCCTCTCACCCAGTTCCTGGAATCCTTCTCTAGTCCTGGAATCTAAGTAAGGGAGAAAGAATGAGTGTTCTATTTTGAAATGATGGGTTTGGTTCCAGAGGGTGACCATGCCAAGGAGCAGAAGATATAGCAGCATTTGACCTAGTGGGAAGAGAATCAGAGGGCTGCTGCTTTTTTTGATTTTTTCCTCGAAGATTTGTGCTTAGTTGGAACAGTCTCACATTATTTTTGGATATGCATTTGTATAGAGGAGTAAGTTAATTCCTGTGCTGAATATTAACATGGGAAAAGTTCCTCCCTGGTTACTATGGCTGTGTCAGAATGCTGCATAGCCTTCTCATCACTTGTCTAACCCATACAAGAAATCAGCTGCACCTGGGGTCAAGTAAGTTCACACCGTGACAGTCTGGTGGGATGTTAGTATTGCTATCTGTTCTCAGAACCAGGAAAGGACTACTCGGAAGCATATGAATGTGAGCTTTAAAAAGAAGTTTTATTTTAGTTTAGGTTGTGGCTCAGCAGTAGAGCACTCGCCTAGCACCTACAGAGCACTGGGTTCGATCCTCAGCACCACATAAAAATAAAATAAACGTATTGTGCCCAACCACAACTAAAACAAAATATTTAAACAATATATATTTTCTAGTTTAGGTTAGAAAATCTTGTTTTAAATCTCAGAACTGAAAACCAGTTGTAATCAACATCAAAAAGTAGATAAGGAAATGCAGAAGCAATTGATTAAGGCACCTGCTTAATTGTATCCATCGTGAAACAAAAATCAAAGAGGAAATTAGAAGACAGAGCCACATGTTTGTCCTGGTGTCGTTTATTGTCTGGGAAAGGTATACATGGAGACTCCATAGTCCATGGGCTAGAAGCTCTTCCACACAGCCCTTTGAAATCTAGTAATTCTTATCTGCCTGGTAATTTTATTCTTCACCAGATTTCTTTTTTTTTTAATTTTTTAAATTTTTTAGTTGTAGCTGGACGCAATCCTTTTATTTATTTTTATGTGGTGCTGAGGATCGAACCCAGGGCCCCGCCTGTGCTAGGCAAGCACTCTACCTCTGAGCCACAACCCCAGCCCCTCTTCACCAGATTTCTAAAGTTTTCTTCTTCAAGCATCTTCTACCTTCCACCATCCTGTATCCTCAAAGACAGTCTCTGTTTCACCTTATAACATCCTGGGTGTTAAAGTCAATACCAGTACTGTTTCTACTTGACATACATTCACTTTATGATGTGTACATTTTTTTATGGACTTGGGGGCTCCTAGATGATATAGGTCCCATTGTGGAATTTGTTCCCTTTCTCAACCTCTTCTTTCTCTCTCCCTGTTCCAGAGCAACCATCAAATCCTCCCCTTGTCCCACACAGGAATATTTAACCCACATCTAGACCTGTAGCCTATCCAGTTCTCCTTTATTAAGAGAAAAATATCTCCAGCTTGTTAGACAAAGAAATAACTGTCTTTGGTGGCAGATGCTATGTTATTTGGTGGCAAATGCTATGCAGAAAAAATAGTGAGTGTTTGAGGTTTTATGATACGAAGACCTTGTATAGACTTTTCAGGTTTAGAAACAGCTTAATCTTAACTTCGATAAGGGAGTGTTACCTAAAAATCCAAAAAGTAGGCAGGACTCTGGTGAAGGCATAGTGGAGGGAAAGGTAGCCTAAGGTCATGGGATCAGTACAAATTTTGGGAACTGGAGCTATTTAGGGAAGGCCAGGGTAACTGGAACTTTGTAAGTATGGAGATAGGGTAGAAAGCAAACTGGGATATTGGCAGGCACTTGTTGGCCATGGGAAAGCATTTGAACATTGCTTGAAGAGGAATGGGAGGCATTGGAAGGTTTGAGCGATCATATACCTAATGCTGAGAGGTTAATTAAGAGAGGACTAAAAAATGTCCACTGGTTTTAGCAACAAGGAGACTGCTGGATCCTCAGAGAAACGATGATAGTGTTAAGGTGGCCAAAAGCAAACCTGCTTTGATGAACACTTAATTCCTGTGTGGTTATCTTAATCTATCATTTTTATTTCTCTCAAATTAATTGATAGAGAACATTTGGTAGCATGTGTATAATAAGAATTTGAAGTAAAAAAATCTTAAAACATAATATATTATATTTTTCAATGCAAAATAAAAATCCTCTGAAAAGTGAACTGTTCCTGGAATAACTATGCTCAGACTTGTTCCTTGTTTTAAGTACTGAAACTCTGAATTCAATTTCTTAGCTATTAGTTACTCTGCATGCTTGATAGAAAACATATTTTATCTATTTTAATAACAAAATTTCAGGAAACCCAATTAAAGGCTTCATTTAATTGTGTAATCTTCTTTTCTACAGAACTATGGGGCATTATTTTGTGAAACAAGTGCCAAAGATGGTTCCAATATAGTGGAAGCTGTTCTCCATCTTGCTCGGTAAAGTTTCACCTTATGCTTGGGAAACTGGACGTAGGACTGAGTTTTCACTTAGTTAATGTTTATGTCAGATTTCTTAACCATAACATACAGTTAGAGTATCCTTTGCAAAACACTGTCCTGTTTTTCAGACATGATAGGAGAAGAAAATACACACTGATGTTATAAGAACTGGTAATGCTTCTGGTTCACTGTGGAGTTGGGCAAAATATCCTTACAGGTACATCTGAGGTGTTGTTGACATTCTGCAAAATGTTATCATATAGCTAATAATGGACTTGTATGAATCATCTCCAGGAACCAGATTTTAAACACAAGAGACTATTGCCAATATAACTATGTATTGTGGCATTTTACTGGGTAAAAAGGTGGGGGAAACAACAAACAGAGCAAATTCTCTTATCATGCCAGTTAGAATCACTTTGCCAAAATTATTACCTAGGTAATTATTTAGTTAAGGCAATGGTGTTGATAATAAATAATATTTTAGGATGTGTATTAGAATGAAAACCACATCATTAAGGATGTATATAAATATGCCTGCACTTTAGTTCTTTATGTATCCCTAGGAAATAACATTTTTGGCTAAATTTATCTCTGTGGCTTAGTTTTTCTGCCACAGATGTTTACTAGCCTAAAGGGATATGTAACCCATCCCCCAAAAGGGAAAAGAATAAAGATATCAGAAAAGAAAACCAGGACAGTGATATCTAGTTGTAGACAAAGCAAAAACAAAATTTTCGGCATATAATTCTTTTTCCTGATGATTTGTGAGATTTTGTGATAATTGACCTCTTCCACTAGTAAACATTGACAGTTAAATACTTTGCATTATTTTCTATGCTACTTTTCAATTAATGACTTGGTATTTGGAGTGCCTAATTAAATGGAGTTCTGTTAGTAGAGTGCTTGGGCTAGGACCTTGAGCTTAGTGGCTTGCCCTCACCTGAGAGAACAAGGAAACAAGTCAAGGACCTCTGGCAGCCTGCGTAGCATTAGCGTGTAACAGGGCTTGGCTGACACCCTGAACTCACACTCAGAGTCTTTCCATCTAACATCAGTTCAAGAGAAATGATCCCCCCGCCCCACATCACTAGAAATTATCTTTATTTAAAGCATAAACTGTGTGAACTAAAACAAGTAGGAAAAAGGCAAATATCTAAACATGTATATAGATTCAGTTGAAGTACATTGTTTTTGTTTTTGTTTTGGACCAGGAATTGAACTCAGGGGCACTCAACCATTGAGCGACATCCCCTGCCCTAGTTTGTATTTTTATTTAGAGACAGGGTCTCACTGAGTTGCTTTAGTGCCTCGCTTTTGCTGAGGCTGGCATTGAACTTGTGATCCTCCTGCCTCAGCCTCCTAAACACCGCTGGGATTACAGGTGTTGCCATTGCTCCAGGCTTTTATATATATTTTTAATAGGAGAATCCTGGACTGATATCATATTTTACAGAAAAGAACCATTATATTATATTCATTATCAGCTCAAATAATGAATTCCACATGCCTCTGGTACATAGGGAACACCAGCTGTTTTGGCCTAGCAAGCTACTTGTACTACAGGGAGAATTCATTGAAATGTAGTGTTTGCCTGTAAGACAGAGTAATTGCTAAATTAATAAGTATTTTCACTTTTTCAAGTGCTTGTTTTGGTATTTCATGAATATGAGTCCAAGGATTTCTACACAGCAGGAAACGATGCACTTTTGGGTCCTGCTCCACCCACATCTGCCCCAGCAGCTACATAATCACCTCCAGGTCAGTCCTTGTGTAGGTTGAGCATCCCTAATCTGAAAATCTAAAATCCTAAATACTCTAAAAGCTGAAACTTTGGACACAGATGTTAGTGGTCAAAATACTGAATTTCCGATCATTTCAGATTTTGGATATTTAGATTAGGGTTACTTAACTGGTAAAGTCTAACACTCTGGACCCAAGCATTTTGAATAAGAGATACTCAAGCTCTTCATGGTTACTGGCTGCTGCCTAGCATATTAGAGGATTGTGGAAGGAGAAAACTCAAAGTCCATTCTTAAATCTACCCCTAAGTAGCTATGAAATCTTTGTCAAGTCCTGGAGTTACTTTAGGCATCTGGAATTAGCAAAATGAGGAAGGGGATGAATAAAATGACCTTTCCAATAGTAACAGACCATGATTCTTTATATAGTAGACTACACTCTACTGAGTAAAATAATTAGTGTGTAATGCTCAATTGTCTCATGGGGCCATATTAAATTGAAATGCATACAAAATGCCCTGGTCACACCCAAAGTGTGGAATTGATTCTCTTTATTGTATCATAAAGATGGGAGAGGCTGCAAACTGCAGGCTTCCTCCCCATCTGCTCATATGTGACCTGTTGGATCAGCCAGTCATTGGCCCTGTTTATTGTGTAACTTAGACACCAGTTTGTGTTTATTTACTTAAAACAATTGGTGTACAAAGGAATTTTGATAACAAAGTTCTTCAACTGTGTAAGGTAAGATCATAGTTATTTTTTAATCTTTAGATAATTAAAGAAATCAAACAAGCTTCTTGTGAGTCACTTACCATGGAGTTTGACATGGAGGTTTTCTTTTTATTGTTATTGCATTATGGCCTGGTTTGGTGGGCCTCTAGTATATTAGTAATATTAGTAATATATTAGTGAAAACTTTGATTTATGCCATCCTCATAGTTCCTTGTCAGAGTACTCAAGACTAAAGTAGAAATGTTATAGTCTCCACAGGTAGAATTATCATTTTTAAAAGTTTTCAACCTTTAAAAAATTGCATGTTATGTAGAACACATAAGTTCTTGATTTAGATCTCATGGGGTGATTCCAGCATTGTCCCTTCTTTACCATGTAATGTCATAAATTGTGAAATAGTATCCTATTTGGTATGTATTTGCACTGTCTGAAACATAGTTTGCTTTTGAAGGGAGGCCACATGTGTTTGGTTAACAGCCTGGACTCTACCTGCTTTTTCTTGAAAAACTTCTGAATCCAAGGAAAAATTACTCTTAGAAATGCAATATTCTTACAGTGCCACTAGGTCCAACCATGGTCCTATTATAAATAAATTTGCTAATACCGGAACCACAAGCTTTAAACATTTTGTAGTAAGCCAAGTTCAACAGGCATTCAGTTGAGCAACAGCCTAAAATTGGAGAAAAACACGAAAAGCTCAGGCTCTATGCAGATCAGCTCAAGAACTGAACTGCTCATATGTGGCCTGTTGGCTTCATTGAGTCATTTAAAAGGCAATTGTTTTATTTTTCTGATTGGCACTTACATATGTTTTAAAATGTAGTTGTTAAGCATGTGGCAACTTTTGGTGAAGTCACTTAATTTTCTCAGGCATAAACCTGTTTTAGATGTTTCTGATCATATCTTTCTGATTTCCTTAATGTCGGCATGCCTGCAGTTTTGATGGATAAAAAAATGAAAACAAAAACACAAAGACCAGGTGAAATATGTGGGTGTATATTTTCCTTCCTTAATATTTACTTTCAAGTTTAATAATGTAAGCATCATTATGAAAATTTAGTATGTGCTTAGCCCTCTACCAGGTTCAATAGGATATCAGTGGAATAAAAGGCAAGCCTTGTAGTTTGACATTAGAAGGAAAAATATAAATAAGATATAAATATATATAAAGCCAGGCAAGGCAGCCATATGGTTTTATCAGCCTCTTATCAATGGCTGATAAGAGGCCATTGGGTCTCCCAGAGGGAGATATGCAAATCGTCCCATGAGGATACAGTGCTTATCCTGCCCATTTTACAGATGAGGAAACATAGGAATTAGGATATTTAATCAGCCTGATCAAATGGACACAGCGAGGAGGTGGTGGAGTCAGGACTTTCCACTGCTACCCTGAATCACTGCTTGCCACTTCAACGTTGGTCACCTCAGGATTTCATTTTGCACTCACTACTTCCTCTTCCTCTTTCTTTCCTTCTTTCTATCTGATGTCTTCCATGCCCCTGGTCTCTGAAACCATTTTAAGCTAGTGACTTCCAGTTTCTGTTTTTTTACCCATTTCATTTTAAAATGCCATAAGCATGTCCTGAACCCTCAGCTGTAAGTTCCATAGGCACAATGACTCGGTGTCTAGCAATCCTAGTGGACTAAGAGTCCTTTAAACTTGTTCTTCATCCTGGGTTCTCTTTCTAAAGAGTCTGCCAATATCATAATTAAAACCTAGTCACCTGGGCTCAATCTTGATTCCTTTCCCTTCTTTTCTTGCTTTATCACCTATCCCCAGTGGGTTCTAAGCCCTGTGGATTAATGACATTGGTGTAATTTCTGTTGAATTCCTGCATCTCTTTTTGTCTCTCCCTCTCTCTGCATTTCTTACCTTGTTTACTCCAGGTGTTTATGCCTCAGATTTTCTTCATTATGAGTTCATTCTCTACTTGGTGATTAGTGTACTCTTTATAAATAAAAATTCAATTAATATTTACTCTTTAGTTTACAATCCCACATTAGTATACTACTTATAATATAAAGTCATATATAAATATAAAACAATATAAATATAAAGAGATGCTCATCATGTGACTGATAGGCCTTCATGACCTGATCTTACCTGCATTTCTAGTTGAATACCCTTTTCCCAAAGTGAATAGTACTGTTTGTAGACACAGCAAACTTTGTGTCCATTTTTGGCAAAGTTCTTTTATATCTCAACTTTTACGCACTTGGCAAAGAGTTTGTATTTGGAAATTGCATTAATTTCTTTTGTCTCTAATAAATTTCCACAGATGTGATAGCATAAATAATACACATTCTGAGAATTCGAGAGCACAGAAGTGTAGACTGTCTCTTGGGGAATTGGGGGTGGATTTGTGCATTCAATTTCTTTTTTCTGAGACTTTGTTTTCTCATCTGTGAGATAATACTCATGTCTCACCTGTCAGGGTGTGTATGGGTGTGGGTATGTGTGCATGGTGTCTGCTAAATAAGAAAAATGTAAAAACATGTATCATAGCACTTTTTAGCTGGCCTACAGAAATAATTACTTTCCATTTTTTTATTTGTTAATTTTTTTCTGCTGAGATATGTAGTTTTTGACTCAAAGTGACTTTCAAAGGTTACTGTGTTAGTCGTCTTTTTTGTTAGTGCAACCAAAATAACCAACAAGAACAATTTAAAGGAGGAAAATATATTTGGATTCACAATTTCAGAGGTTTAGTCCATAATAGCCCATTGCTCTGGACCCAAGGTGAGGCAGAATGTTACTGTGGGAGGGCATGGAAGAGCAACACTGTGCACCTTGTAGTGGCCAGAAAGCAGAGAGAAAAAGAGAAAGGGGCTGCAGGAAAGATCAACCATTCCAGGGCACATCCCCAGTGACCCACCTCCTCCAGCCATAGCCCACCTGCCCACAGTTGCCATCCAGTTAGTCCATTTAGACTAGGATAGACTCACACAATGACAACTCTCACCATCCAGTCATTTCATATTTGAATATTCCTATACTGACACAGGAGCTTTTTGGAGACACCTCCTATCTAAACCACAACATTCCATCCCTGGACCCCCAAAGCTCTATCCACTTCACAATGCATAGTGTATTTAATTCATCTCTGTGTGTTCCTATAGTCTTACTTGTTCTAGCATTGCCCAAAATTCCAAGTCCAAAGTCTCATTTGAGACTCAGGGCAAACTCTTGGCTGTCAGCCCCATAAAAATCAAAATCAAGATACCTATATCTAATATACAGTGGCAAAGAGTAACATTCCCATTTCAAAAGGAGGAATTGGGGCATGTAATGAAGGAATGGTACCCAAATGAGACTGACACCTAGTCTGGCAGACAGGCCCCATAACTCCACATATTGCCTGTAGGACATGTGGTAGTAAGATGTGCTCTTCAAAGGGCTAGGGAAGCACCACACATTTGTCTTACAGATTGAAGTGCACATTGGTTCTCTCTTGGCTTGACTGTCTCCACAGCCAGCTTTTTTTGTGTGTGAGGGGTGCACAGACAGTTCATGTTGCTGACATATTTTACTTCTTATTGTTTCTATCCCTGCTTTTGCTTCACCTTCACAGCTTTGGGCATTGCCCTCACAGTGTCAACTTTCTAGGGCCCTCTGTGCAAATAGGGTTCCCTGTGTTTTTTTTTTTTTCTCTAAGGAATTTTCCCTTCGTTATTCTTGAGTCTGCAATGGTATAGTCTTACAAATTCTTGAGACACCCTCAAGCCATCTTTCCTATTGTCTCTTTTCAAAGTACTTAGCACATCTTTAGGAACTATAATCTTTATAACCTCTTTGGTTCCAGAGTTACATTCACTTTCCTGGCCAAATTGCAAATTTTGAAAATTATTTAGCTCTGCTTTCTGTTCCTGATTCTCACAGTAAAGCTGGCTGAAAGCTGCAAGAAGTAAAACCCATGCATGCCACTGCTTGAATGCTGTGCTGCCTTGAAATTTATTCTACCAGATTAATTGGTCCACCACTTTTAAATTTAGCCTCACACAAACTCTTGGGACATAAACAAAATGCAGAAAATTTATTTGCCAGGATGTAACACAAAGGGCTTCTAGTCCAGTTTCCAATAGAGTTCCCATTCCCCTCTTTGACTTCATGAACACAGTCTTGACTATCTCCATTTCTATTGACATTGTGATTTTCTGAGCTCACAGTAGGATTGCTCATTACACTCTAAACATTTTAATGCCTTTCTAGTCTTCATTTCCAAACTTGGCGAAACTCCTCTTGCAAACCATTTCAAAAGGCTTCTGAATCACATGGTCAGGCTGGTCACAGCAATAACCCCGCTCTTGGTACCAATTAGTGACCAAAATACTTGACAAGAGCAACTTAGAGGAGGGACAGTTCATTTTGGTTGATGGTTTCAGAGAAATGTTTAGTTCATGGTGGACCAACTCCTTTTCTCCAGATTAGGCAGAACATCATGGAAGGGGCAATGGAAGAGGGAGGCAGATCCATTCATGGCAGCCAGAAAAAAGAGATAGAGAAAGAGGAAGGGGCTGCAGGAAAGATAAACCCTTCTAGGGCATGCCTCCATGGATCCACAACCTGTAACCATGCCCCACCTATAGTTTCCACTCAGTCATTCAAACTAGGATGGGTTGATTAAGGCATAGCTCTCACAATCCAATAATTTCACTACCAAACTGGCATTTTGTGGGAACACTTGAATCCAAACCACAATAGAACACATCAGAACCTTCTGTAGCTGCATTGGCTAATTTGGTAGCCATTAGTTGCTTGAAATGTGGCTGATTCAAATTGAGTTTTCCTGTATGTATTATATATACTGAATTTGAAGAAAGTACAAAAAGTATAACATATCTCAGTTATATTATTATTGATTTCATGCTAAAAATATTTTTTCTATAGTGTTAATAAAATTATTAGTAATCTATTAATAAAAGTAATTTCCCCTATTTCTTTTTACATTTTTTAATGTAACTACTAAAAAAAATTTGAAATGACATATGGCCCACATTGTATGTCTATTAAACAACCTTACTTTATTGAAAAGATTCCTAGTAGTTTCCATTAAACACTCCATAATAAACCATCCCCAAAGTTAGTCACCTTAAGCAAAAACTATTTTTTATTTCTTACAATCACCAGAGATTGCTGATCTTGGCTAGAAGATTCCTCTACTGCTATTCTTGGGTGTTTTATGTATTTGCAGAGAGATGGGTCTAGAGGCTATGGCTTTGGCTGGATATCTGCAAACAGGGTGTTTCTCCTCGTGGCTTCTCTCCATGTAGCATCTCATTCTTCATGGCACTCTGGTGGCCTCTCTCCATTAAGGAATCTAGTACTTCTTAAATGGCAGCCCAAAGCACTGAGTGGGAAGTGGCTAAAGTGACTGAGATTATTAATACCTGGGTTTGGAAGTCCAGCGCATCATTTCCTTAATGTTCTATTGGTCAGAGTCACCAAGAGTCAGCCCTGACGGGAAGGTTGGGGGTAGGCACAGCTCCACCTCTTCTTGGGGAGCACCAGACATTGAATCCTTCGTTTCTTCATATATAAAATGGCACACAATAAATTAATAGGTTTCTTTTGAAGAATAGGTAAGTGGACACCAGGAAGAATTTAGAAGTGTCTAGTGGCTCATGCAAACATTCAGGATTGCTATGCTTTTTTTCTGCAGAGCCATTTGTTTGGCAGAATTATTGATGCCATCTTGAAGATAAGCAGTCACACTCATCTCACCCACAGAAATAGTTATTCATCTCATCTATAGTGGGATGCAGGGTCTTTATATTTTGTGGGAGTTACACGTGGAAGGACACTTCCCTAGGGAGCTTTCAGAAGATACTGGAAAGTGGTACATATTTTATCAGTGTTGCTTCTATTGAGAAACTTAGGAAGAAACAAAAGGAAGATATTTTTTTCCTGGATTTTAACTGTCCATTATTCAATGTCATTAAATAATGGTTCTAAAACTGTCATTGCTTTGTTTTGGTCAGCAAATCATTACTTGTGGATGGAAGCCACACTCCAGAGTGTTAAGGAGTGAACTGTGCATGTGGCAGATGATACAGCATCCTGAAATTTCAGGAAAGAAGAGAGGCAGGGTGTGTCTGTGTGCATCCTGGTGCTCAGAATACCGGCACTAGAGCCAGCCTGTGTGGTTTGAATTCCACTTCTCCATTTGTGTGAACTAAGAGAAAATTCTTTTTTTTTTAAATTGGTACATTATCATTAAATAGTAGACTTCATTATGCCATGTTTATACTTGCACATAACATAATTTGACCAATCCTAATATAAGTTTCTTAACCTCTTTCTACCTTCATTTCTTCATGTATAAAGTGGGGCACAATAAATTAATAGGTTTCTTTGAAGTCTAGGTAAGTGGGTGACACTAGGAAGAATTTAGAAGTGTCTAGTGACTCATGCAAACATTCAGAATTGCTATGCTTTTTTTTCTACAGAGCCATTTGTGTGGCTAAGTTTGTATCTCAGTAACCCTCTCCCCCTTGCCTACACCTAGGGAAGTAAAAAAAAGGACTGACGAGGATGACAGCAAATCCATCACCAATCTGGCTGGGACCAAAAAGTCAACACAGATGAAGAACTGCTGCAATGGTTAAACTCCGACATCTTCAACTGATGTACACTTCATTTCCAGAGTACTGAATTTTGTGACCAGTTTGGTTTCTATTAAGGTGATTCACCCTACTGACACTGTCCTACGGAGAGTTAACAGCATGGGCTATCTGAACTGTCTCTTGGGTCCCCCTGGAATCTCAACTCTTCTTTGCTGTATCTAGATGAACAATTTGGGCCCTTTGGTCATTACAGAGTCTTAAAAGATAACATTTAAATGTTTTCAATGTGGTATAAAAAAAAATCACATGCTTAAATCCAAGCTACAGAAGAAACTCACATTACAGACTGATGAGGTAGTTGACTTTGTAGTTAACCTATGACAATGTTTACTGAAAATATTTGATGCTAGACACTAGTATGAGCAGGTTCTTATCCTAGCTTCCCTGCTAACTAGCTTTGTGATCTTGGGCATGTCATCAGCACCTTAGATCTGTGTGTGCCCTCTCTGTAAAAGCAGCAACTGGCCTCCAAAGCCTTGTAGTACCTCTTAGATGCTGTAGCACTGTAAGCAGCAGGAAGGAGAACACGATGACCTACAGTTAATAAGGGCTCTGGTTGTTTCTACTTTCTAAATATTGAAATATTGATTTTCTTACTTCTGAAATGAGAACAGAATTTAAAAATGAGAAAAAAAATGGCTCCATTTTAGGCTTCAGTGGAAACAGAGATATATATTTTTTATATATAAAAAATGTTTGAAAAAAAACTTGTATATAGAAAGAACTGTACTTTGTAATCTTTAGAAGAGTTACAAAGTCCGCAGTTTGAATTCAGTATGAAAAATTTTAATGAAAACATGTAAAGCCACATACTACTGAAAGTACAGAGCCCAGAAAAGCTGTCCCTCTTCATTTAAAATGTACACCAGCCAGTGGTTACCAGACAGAGACTGAGGAAAGGAGAACTGGGAGTGACTGCTAATGGGTATGGGGTTTCTTTCAAGAGTGAAATCGAATTAAAATGATAGTAATTGTTGCATAACTTATTGAATATACTAAAACCACTGAATTTTATACTGTGAATGAATTGATTTTTTGGTATTTGAATTTTATCTCATTAAATTATATGAACACTTACAATGATTTAATGTTTTACCAAATGAAAATATTCATGCTATTTCAAACCTTCCCATGGTTTAGGATATAATCTGCAATATAATACAAATCCCCTAACTCCCTACTTTCAAGCATTAACTTTCTTAAATAATGAAGAATAAAAGAAGCAGTATGCATGGTTTGGGGGGGAAAATCTATAAAAGAGGAATTGCCATAGAGAATGGTGAGCTGAAGTCCTTTGTTTAACATAACATCTGACTCTTCCCCACCAATGACCTGTTCAGTCTTGCTCTCCTTCCAGAATCTGTGGGGGCTCCAGGCTTCCCTACTAAAACATCCCTAAGAGCCAAGGGAGGCAATAACAGGCCCAAGTGTGGGCCTGGCTTTTAATGATGTGAGCCAATTAAGTTGCTCCCAGCAAGAGATTTGAACTTATCTTAGTGCCTCTAGATCCAGACTCCAAGTATCTTGTTAAAAAACCTAAATAATAGCTGTTATTTATTGTATGTTAAAAACATTTCTTTTTGTTAAGTTAAAATAATTATTTGTAGCAATAATTTTCCTATTTATGAATTTTTTTATGGTCAAACTTTAAATTCCTTAATTTTTAAGCTCTTAAAGCTTACCAAAACATTTCAAGGCTTTTTGTATTTTTGCTGGGGAGTTGAATCCTCAGTAACTCTACCATGAATTCATGTTTTAACACTTTATGGTTTTCGGTCCCAGAGAAAAATTCCATTTCTGATTATAGTGCCTTGCTTGTGGGGAATTGTCAAAATAAATGGGGGTGGGGAGGTGGAGTGAGTGGTTGTTATTTTTGCTGCACATGGTATGGTGACATGAAAGTTTTATGGTTGCTGTGCCTCAGTGGTGTCTATAGACCCCAATGAGGTTGGTTGGACATGTGTTGATAAATAAGGCACTCATTTGAGTTTTATTGTTCAATGTTGTTAGTATACATGTTGTTGTATTACATTTATTTATTTCCTTCAAAGTGTCTCTTTTTATTTGTCTTACAACATTATTCCTGTAAATAAGAATGTACCTTTAATATAGAAGTCTTATCTTGATCTTTGCCTCTGGATCATGCAGCCAGCACACCCAAATTGATTAGGAGATTACTTAGGAGACTTTGAGGGGCAAACCAGTCATCTTCAACTATCAGAGCACTATACTTGTTTAGACAGTGTAATCCAAATAATAGACTTTTATCTCTGGTTAGCAATGTTGTTTAAAGAAAGCTACTTTAAAAAGAAGGATTCCTTGCTGGTGATCATCATTGTTTACCCAAATTTTTGTTATGTGAAGTTGTTCTCCAATTTATGGTATATTTTCAACAAAGACAAGAATATTTAATGTTTTTAACTTAGACTTAATTTGGCAGGTTTTAATATTCCTATGGATGTAACTTATTTTGTCTCTGTTTCTCCTTTGAGAGATTTTACAAGCATAATCATACTATACTCCTTTTTTATATACACTGACACATTGGATAATATTTTAATTTCATTATGGAAAATAATGCTGGATAAGGAAGCATTTTTCACTGCTAAATTTAAGCCCTGTACATTTCCATAATTTATTTTTTCCACTTGCTGTTTTATAGGATGTATGTGACATTTGATTATTTAATACTATATGTGACTTGCATAAATCCAAGCCACACAACCCTCCTGCTGAAAATAAAATTGAGGTTAAAGATAAAGATTTATTTTCATATTTATACAGTGATTGGCTTCAGAGTGATGGTTTTTGTGGGCTTTTATTGTATGTGTGTGTAAGAAATTTCATATGTATATATTAAGTAGGCCTCTGAGAATTGAATAATTGTTTTATGATTTTGATTTATATGGTTTACATTTTCATGGTTTGGGCCATATTTCGTTTATACTGTTTATTTCTCTTCAAGCCATTAATAATTATACCATAAAATATAATTTTATAGCAATGCAAATATCTAAGGAACTACAAATATTTTGTGCCTTGTAAATTCAATAAAGTGTGCTTCTTTTGACCTATTGGCTGCTGCCTTCAGCTTTACTGCAGATACTCTTGAAGCAGTTTTTAATTGCAAGATGTGTCTGCATGAGCCAGTACCTGTACAACCCATCTGTTCTGGCTATGTCAAGCCTGGCTGGTTGGAGAACAGAATGACTGCCCAGTATTTGGTGCTGTGACATAGCCCTGACATCTTGACCAACAGGGCAGCAGGTAGACCAGTGTAGGGCAAGGCAGTCAGGAGTAGTGAGGCTTTTGTAGAACTATTTAAGAATAGGCTCTGGCATCCTCATGACCTTTGAGGGCTCAGGCTTTGGTCTGACAGTCACTTCCTCTCGCTGCCTAGCTAAATCCTCCAGGAAGGTTTTTCTGGACCCCCAAACTAAAATGAGGCTATTTGTTCTCACTTCTTAATGTCCTTATTGACCTTACATTTATTTAAGTAAGACTTATGCTTCCTGTTCTTAGCCATTTTGCTGTTACCACTATTCAGTGGGCACAGTGCTTAGAACTTTAATAGTACCAATTATTGAATAGATTATGTGTTAATCAGCTTCCCATTACTGTAAAAAAGTGCCTGAGATAGTCAGCTTTAAAAAAGGAAAGGTTTATTTTGGGTTTTTTTTTGTTTGTTTGTTTTTATTTTTTTTATTGTTGGTTGTTCAAAACATTACATAGTTCTTGATATATCATATTTCCCATTTTGATTCAAGTGGGTTATGAACTCCCATTTTTACCCCGTATACAGCCTGCAGAATCACATCAGTTACACTTCCATTGATTTACATATTGACATACTCATGTAAGGAAAGGTTTATTTTGATTCATGGTTTCAGAGTCCATGGTTGGTAGGCCTTGAGGTGAAGCAGAACATTAGGGCAGACATCATGGCAGGGAAGCAGAAAGAGGAGGAGTCAAGAGTCCCAATGTCCCTTTCAAAGGCACCAAGTAACCAGAAGACTTAAAATTAGCCCCCCCCCCTTAAAATTTCTACCATGTCCCAAGAGCATTACAAAGTGGGAACTAACACATGGGCCTCTGGGGGACATTCACAATCCAAACCATACTGATTATCAAGAATGGACAGGGTAAATAAGGCAAAATAAATATTTTTAAATCTGCCACAGATTTTATGCAGAAACAGAAACATTTTACTCTTTAGATAATATCCCAAAACTTCTTACCATGATATCTAAGGCTCACTTATTCAGTTAACACTCACTGAACCTGATATTTATTGATTTAAACGATTTCCTAAATAGTATTCTAGACAGTGGGATCCATAGTGGATAAGACAGACTGCCAACAAGATAGCATTCTGCTGGGAGATCAGCAAAAAAATGTGAACTCATAAAGAAGATAAAAAAAAAAAAGAAGATTCACTTTCTATTTCTTTTGTCCTTTTTCAACCCTCGAGTCTACATTCAAGCACAGGAAACTTCTTCAGACATACCATACTGACTTACCTCCTGCCCTTTACACAAGGTGTGCTTCCTGCCTAGAAGAAACACCACTGTCCTCTAGAGCCTGCCCACCCAGCTGCTACACATCTCAAATCAGCTGCGACTTCCTCTGGCAGCAGTGTCTGACCTCAAGTATGAGCTAGATCTGCTTCTCCATGCAGATCTGCAGATCTGCCCACCATGTCCATCACAGCACTTTATCTGACTGACTTGTAATGATCAGTTCAATTGAGTACGTGGCATGTTGAATGACTTCTGTCTCCCTTTAAGTTTTAGTGGAGTAGACTTTCTCCTGGATGCACATCTCAAACTGACTTCCAGTTTCTCTAGATCAGGGTCTTAGGTTTTCTATACCACGGACCTCTTTAAAGCACAGAAACCCCTCAGAATCATGTTTTTAAGTGAACAAAATAAAATGCTTACATTAAAAAGGAAAACAATTACTGAAAGATGATTCCCAAAGTATTATGTATTATCTATATGAAATATATAAACATATTACATATAAATATATATAATATATAAACAGTGTATACATATATCTAAAATATATACACATATGTCGTTCATTCATACACACATTTCAGTACTGGGAATTGAACAAAGTGTGTTCTGCCTCTGAGTTATAGCTGCAGAACCTTTTAATTTTTTTTATTTTTGGGACAGGGTCTTGCTCAATTGCCTAGGCGTACCTTGGATTCATGATCCTCCTTTCTTGGCCTCTGAGTACCTGGGATTACAGGCCTGCAGTACTGTGCCTGACTTTATTTTAATTTTTTTGTGAAAATAGTAGTGTTTGTGCTGTTTTATTGGCACATTAAATGACAAGATCTGGTGCTAGGTCTCATAGCCACCATAATTTTGACACGATGAAGGTACGTGGTATTTTGAGACATTTGCAGCATTTTAATGTGAACAGTAAATATCGGTGATTTCTGTTGGTGACATACTCACAGGCTTGGAGTTTGTTGCCATCACTCTTATTAAATGAAATGCTAAATGTCAGATGGAATTCAGTGAACATGTATTTTTTTCCCAAGATAGAAATATAGATTTCTATTCATAGATCTAGTGGGCCCAGGAGCCCAAATTAAGAAGCCCTACCCTGGGTGAGAAACATATTATGTTAAGCTGCAGAGCATACTCAGGTGAGAATTCCCATGTAGAAATCACAACTCCAGTCTTGCCTTGGTGATATTGTCTTCTCCATCCCACCTGGCAGCTCACTGTGGGAAGTCAAGGTGAGTCCTCCTGCTTTGTCCTGCTTACCCTATCCCTGGCCTCTAGTCTAGTCCTCTAGTCTAGTCCTCTAATCTAGTCCTCTTGAGGCTCCAACAAAAAAAGCACAGTGCATAACAAATGTTGTTTTATACATTAGCAAGATAAATGTCAAAAAGTAAAAGAGTGATCGTGGCCAGCAGTTCTTGACTATCAAATGTGTTGAAGGTAAGTAAAATGTGTTCCTTGTAGGAATATGCTGTATGGCTCTGAAACCAGCCTAGCTCACTTACCCCTCTTATCACTGTGGGGTTGACTGAGGAAGAAAGAAAAAATATAAAGCTTTCAAAATAAAAAACTTATAAGTGAAACTAAAATAAATCTAGCAGCAAAATGTCTACAGAAGGGCATGCTGTACATAGAATTGATGATAGTCTGGTTAAGTTTCATATATATTAAATGTTTTCTGGGGTGAGATAATAAACCATGCTTTTTTTTAACTCAGAAACTTCATTATAACTAGAGTCAAATGAATTTTTTCTCTTAAAGATATCAACTTACAAGGACAGAAGAAAATAGCACTGAATAGTAAAGCTGGAAAGCAGATAGATATTGGGAAGTGAGTTAACAAACCTAAGAAAGCTGACTTCCAAGCCAATACTGGGGGAGAGTTGAGAACGATCTATATTTCCATCATGGATTTCACAAAAGGTTCAGGAACAGGCAGATGGTATGCACCTTGGGGACTGGTATGGCAGGAGTATATGGGGTAAGAGCAGTTTGAGAAGCAGTTCACCCTTAGGTAATGTCCCATGCTATGCTGCCATTGGCCTGACCAATGTCTGGAGATTTGTTTTCTACATTTAGTAAAATAAGGCTTCTAGGTTGAGGGATGGATGCCAGGCATGGCTTATTGTTACTATTCTAAAATCAGGGAAGTTAATGTGGAAACAGATATTCTGTGTGATCAGGACTAATGTTCAGACTTCCCACCAAGATTTCAGAATGCTGATATCTCTATCTTCCAAAGACTTTTCCCTGAGGTATATGACTAACCAGGTGGAAAGACCTAAAGATACGGATATTAGGTATCTCTCTGATAAATGGCTGTCTTGATCGCTCTACAGTGAAGTTCTAAGGTAGCAAATGCCTCTCCACATTCAGAATCTTTAATCAGAATTTTAGCTTCCTTGAGCAATCCAAGGATCACTGTATAATCATGGAAATTCTCTAACATGAAAAACATAGACCACATAATGCAGAAAAATATCAACATGGGGAAATAGAGTCTATGAAGAGAAAAAAAACAGAAAACATATTGCAGCCATGGAACAAGAGCAGGTCATATCAATAGTATTCAGGAAGCAAAAATGAGCTTTTAGAAATTAAAAATTTGATGGCAAAAGTTAAAACAAGTATATAAACCAGAAGATAAATTTGAGGAGTCTTTTAGAAAGGTAAACAATGAGAAAGTAGGAGAGAAAATCTAACAACCAAAAAGAGCTGTTCCAGAATGATGTATCAGGGAAGACATGGTGATATAATCAAACAATTCAAGATGAAATTTCCAGAACCATAGGCTGCTAGTTTCTAGATTGAAAGAACTTGCCTAGAACCCTGGAGAATCGATGGAAATATATCATCATTAAAGCCATAGACTAGAGAAAAACAATCTCCAAACTTCTATAAAAAAGGGAGAAATTAGAAACAAGATATTTGAATGGTTGCACACATCCCAGCAGAAACCCTGGAATCAGGAGACAGTGAAGCAGTGCCTGAAATTATTTCCAACCTATAATTCTAAATGGAGCCCAGCAATGAATGAAACGTGAATAATAATGACATTTTCAAGATATTAAAAAAAAAGCAACAACAACATTGTATGCCCTTTTAAAAGAAGTCACTGAAGACATACTCCAACAGAGGAGAAAATAAATGACTTGGAATACAGGAAATAAGAGATTCAACACAGAAATGATATGAAGTCCAAAGTCAGGGGGATAGTGAAAGGAGAGCCCAGCAGAAGAGACTTCACTAGTTATGTGGGGTTACTGGTTCATGTTGGAGCAGGGTGGCTCAAGAGTCATCCTCACAAAGTGCTGGTGTTGAAGCTTTTCCTCCGAGGTCAGAATGCCAGGTCAGCCTGACCCAGATTCTTCTCTGCACTTCTCTTGTACTTACTACCTACTGACACAGTTCCTGATTTTCCATTTATGTCTGCTGCTTGGATTAACCACTCCTGGGGTATAAGGAAACAGAAAAGAAAAAGAGGAAATAAAAAAGAGACAAGAAGAGAACACTACAGAAGGGATAGAAGGGAAAAAAAGAACACAGG